CAAGGCAAATCTTTCTAGCAAGAATATGCCATGCCACTTAGTAGCAAACCACCCACATTCCCTTGGTATTCCATTAGTGAGAAAAAAGTTCCACTCAAGCAGCTTCTTCCTGCGAACCACTGCTCTGTGGAAGCAACTCCCAACAGAATATTTCCTTGATTACTACAATCTTAACCTGTTCAAGGCTAGGGTTAACTATCATCTTCCACTCCTATACACACAAAAGGACTCCAAACATAACCCTCTGACTTGAGTGGCCCTTGGACCTTGTTATATATGTTTTACTACAGATTTATACTGTAAAGTTCTGCAGAGTATTGGGTCTTATATTATTACACTAAAGGGGAATAACTTGCTTACTAAAGATGAATGAATAATCATATTTATATACAGATAAATACACATATTTTAGTTATCAATATCCAGCCTATATACATTTTTCTTTTTATTGGAGAAATACGAACAAATATAACAAGTTGCATGCACTTTGGTTAAATCAGACCAATATTTGTTTACCAGCCATTTATGTAATCTGTGATAAATCAAAGCAGTATGTGATGGGTAAGGAGTAATAAAACTATCAATTACAAAGGGGGGGGGGATGCTGAAAAGTTCTCAGCACTACCCACTTCAATTTTTTTTTTCTTTTTTAAAAAAAGACATTTCCAGCATCCTCTTATTCTTTTTTAGCCCCAATTGCATATGAATCAAATATATAATAGAAAGGATTCAACTTTCCTTATTTTGTTAAATAGTAAAATGGACTTTGTTATTTCCAGTTGTATAGTGAAATGACCTCTATCTGTTTTGGGGTTAGGGGATTTATAAGCAGTTGGTCTCGGTAGTTCTACCCTTACTACCATGTACAGATGTAAATAAAATCTTGGCACTATTTAAATAGACTGGTTCACTTGTAAAAATTTATTCGGGAAATAATTTTTGGAGATTAGCATTGATTTGTCAGAATTGAAAAATATTGATTTTTTTTAAATAATTTTATGAAGTGGTGGTACGTCTTGTTCATAATTGACTTTTATTGAGTTATTGGATCTAACTGGTATTTATAAATGTCAATTCTAAAAGTGTTGTAATGCCACTTTGACAGAAAATTTACCAGTAAAAAATTCGCTTATCACCATATTTGTACAAGAACGCACAACTGTAAAAATTTAAAATCAAACTCAGCGTTGCTACTGCACGCTCCAAAAACAATAACTCATTTCCAATAGCATTTTCGGATACAACAATACATATATTTTCGTCCTCTTATTACTGAGAGAAAAAACAAGAACAACATCTATTCCATACCTGAAGATGTCTGTAGGAACAGACGAAAGCTTGTAGTAAAAATAAGAACTAATGCAGCAGAAATTTATAGAAACAAGGATCTTTTCATTCATAAAAGGAGGTTTTTGTATATTATTTGAATTGTTTGTGACGATGGATTTCTCGCCAATTAAATCATTAACCTTTGCATTTGTTTTTGTGTGAATAATTCATGAATTTGTATATATATATATATATATATCCATTTGTTCTTTATTTAAAATAGTTTGTATTCTCCACCCCTACCAAAAGAAGCTGTTTTCATATGCAAAACAGCTGTCAAATAACTCATAACTCTTTCAAAACAAGTCAGGGAACAATTTTATACTTTATAGATATTATAAACAGGACTCCCTTTCTAAATTGAGGATGATGGTATTATTATTATTATTATCAATAATAAAAAAAAAATCAATATTTTTTAGATTCTGATGTGATGAGACCTCAGGTAGATCTAAAGAATCTATAAACATTATTTCCAAAAACATTTTCACATATTTTTTTTTTATCTGTGGACTAGTTTATTTAAGTAGTACCAAAATCTTTTAATGCTGATATCCAGCTGCTTGTCTTCTATTTCAATTAAAATCGATCCATTGCAAAATACAGAATTATAACACATTGATACACAATACAGGCTTGGGCGATCATGCCTCTTTTAATTCATAACTGATTACATAGGAAATTTTCCCATAGTAGGTTGCTATTTCTTTCTCTGGTAGACTGGTTGCCAACCAAGGCTATATAACTTGGTCTGTCTTGTTATTTAACCCATAGCTAAAGGGGGAAGAGAGATGGATGCATACCTTTCCCCAAGGGTATTTTGCATATGAGTGAATAGAAAGAAAATGAGTAACTACCGACACTGAACGTTATACTCTCGACTTATCAATATGTTTTTTGCCAGGTGTATAAATAGCAGTGTCAGGCTACTGACTGGAGTGATTATTCAATGGAACTACCAGTTGAATTAGCGTGAATTATTGTGCATCGAGGATTTTGATTTAGGATTAGCTGTGCTACTAACAAGATATTCACTAAAATCGTTAACTATCTTTGGTTGACTTTTACTTTTTTGTTCTTCCTAAGTATTTATTTCTGGTTGTAATTAAATACTGTTTTATTTAACATTGAAGCCTTGAGTTATACTTAATTATTAACGCCCACTGTACATCACAAAAGTGATGAACTTGACTGAAATTGTTTTCTACATAAACTAAATATTTCTGGCTGTCTGGAGAAGGGGGTGATGATTAACCAACAAATTTTATCATTTTGAACAAAATTTTTTTAAACAAGTTTTCAGTAACCAATTTATAAAAGATATCATTTTTCAAGTGTTACTGCCAGAACAGGGCTATTATAAATACATGTAAAATGTTTTGATGCATTTGGTTGATTAATCCTAGTAGTGATATAATGGATAAACTATTTGCTCATTAACAAATAAACTGAATTCTGTAGTGAGCCATTCTTTTCATATAAACATGCAATTTCATCTTTAAAACTCTAAGTCTCATGGTGTGTGTAAGTGTTGCATATTATTTCAATTATAATATATAATATAATAATATTATTTCTTGCATATTATTTATATGTGTTACTCTTTAAGTTTCATGGTGTGTGTAAGTGTTGCATATTATTACTCAGTACTTTTTTTAGCTAAGAATTGCAACTAGAATTTTTTAGAAGAATAAAAATTGTATATCAACAGAAAAGAAAAATATTCTTTTTGTCAAGTTCACATTAATTTTTCTCTACTTTTTAAATATTCTCTTTAAAAGCAAAAGTAATGAACAATTTGCCTATTGTTGAAAAAGTAAATTTTTATGTAAAGTTATTGTAATTAAAAAACAATTTTTGATGAAAGACATTCAAAAAAATAGAAATATTTTCAAATTAAAAATTTAATTAGTGATTATTTCTTTGTTTGTTATGAAAATTTTGGCTTTTAGCGTTCAGCCTTACTCACATTGTACAACCCTTATGGAAAGAGGAAGTTTTCTTCGGTTTATCCTCATATGTTTTATTGTCAAAAACTGATAAATATGTATGCCAATCCTCAAAGTACATTGTGTGAGACATTTTCATGCATTGTGTTGGGTTGCTGTCTAATACTTTTCTTGCTAAACAGAAAAGAACATAACATAGAAATTTTCAATCACCTTGATTTATATGCAGTTTTTTTTTTTTTTAATAAGTCTCAATAGCTAAGTAATTTAGTTAAATCATCACACAAGATAATGTGAGGGTTTGCATAATGAGTTTATCTTGTCAGATTTGCTAACCATGTTTTTCTTCTTTTTTCTATAGTTTTCAATAGTAAAGAAAGTTTTGTAAGCAGAGAGATCACAGTGAGAGAGGAAATCGGAGACGCCAGAGAGAGAGAATCAGAGTGACCGAGAGTGAGACAGAGAATCAGAGTGACCTAGAAAAAGAGAGAATCAGAGTGACCTAGAAAGAGAGAGAGAGAGAGAGAGGATCAGAGCGACCTAGAAAGAGAGAGAGAGAGAGACAGGATCAGAGTGACCAGAGATTGAGAGAATCAGCGAGAGATTGAGAGAGAGAATCAGCGAGAGATTGAGAGAGAGAATCAGCGAGAGATTGAGAGAGAGAATCAGCGAGAGATTGAGAGAGAGAATCAGCGAGAGATTGAGAGAGAGAATCAGCGAGAGATCGAGAGAGAGAATTTGAGAGAGCGCGAGAGAGCTCGAGAGAGAGCGCGAGAGAGCTCAAGAGATCGAGAGAATCTGATAGAGCGAGAGAGATCGAGAGAATCTGAGAGAGCGAGAGAGAGCGAGAGAATCTGAGAGAGCGAGAGAGAGCGAGAGAATCTGAGAGAGAGGTCGAGAGAATCTGAGAGAGATATCGAGAGAATCTGAGAGAGATCGATCGAGAGAGAATCGAGAGAATCTGAGAGAGATCGAGAGAATCTGAGAGAGAGAATCTGAGAGAGAGATCTGAGAATCTGAGAGAGATCGAGAGAATCTGAGAGAGAGATCGAGAGAATCTGAGAGAGAGAGAGATCCGAGAATCTGAGAGAGAGATCGAGAGAATCTGAGAGAGATCGAGAGAATCTGAGAGAGAGATCGAGAGAATCTGAGAGAGAATCTGAGAGAATCTGAGAGAGATCGAGAGAATCTGAGAGAGATCGAGAGAATCTGAGAGAGAGATCGAGAGAATCTGAATCTGAGAGATCGAGAGAATCTGAGAGAGAGATCGAGAGAATCTGAGAGAGAGATCGAGAGAATCTGAGAGAGAGATCGAGAGAATCTGAGAGAGAGATCGAGAGAATCTGAGAGAGAGATCGAGAGAATCTGAGAGAGAGATCGAGAGAATCTGAGAGAGAGAGAGAGAATCTGAGAGAGAGAATCTGAGAGAAATCTGAGAGAATCTGAGAATCTGAGAGAGAGAGCGAGAGAGAGTGAGAGAGAGTGAGAGAGAGAGTGAGAGAGAGAGAGTGAGAGAGAATCTGAGAGAGATCGAGAGAATCAGAGTGACCAGAGAGAGAAAAAGAGAGAATCAGAGAAACCAGAAAGCGAATCAGAAAGGCCAGAGAGAGAGAGAGAGACCAATGAGAGGCTTTGTTGTTCTCTTACTTTTTGAGGAAGTAAAGTATAGTCTACAGAAGGTATAAATTAAAAATCATTTTAGTATATAGAATTCTACTATACCCTATTCATGGTTTCTTCTACCATTTTCTTCCGTTTATCAACTTTGCTTGAAATGGTTCCACTGCCAGAACTACCACTTTGGCTCAACATCTCCGATTCTGTTTTCATGGCCAATTCATAAGCCTTTTCGTACTCCTGTTTACGATTATAATACAGAGACCGAGCTTTCCTTAAGTTTGAAATTGATTCATGCTGAAATAAACAGAAAACAACAGTTTAACAATAAATAAAAACATTTAAGATAAAACTGTATTGTATAACAATTTTGACTAATCCAAGGAAAAAATAGATGCATACTTATATGACAGTGATCTTTTTGAATGAAGTCAGTTAAACCAAAATTCCACTAATGCCAACATGCAACAAAATCCAATTTTCAGTACTCCTTCATACGCAACTAAGATTTATGTAACTTTTATAAGTTTTTATGTCTCTACGGTGGAGTAATGGATAACGGCTTGGACTGAGGAATCTGAGAGCCGAGTTCGAATTCCAGTCAAATCCATTACATTCACTTATGTGCTAATACCCTTAGGAAAGGTATGAATCTTCTTATCTGTCCCCCAGCTATGGGTAAATAGTAGAACAGACCGGGTTCTATAGCCTTGGATAACACTGGTCTACTGCAGAAAGAAATGGCAACCTACTGTGGGGAAAAAAAAATCTGCCTCGTCAGTCATGTATCAAAAGATACATGATCGCCTAAGCATATATCACGCATGGCACATAACTGACTGATGTCTTTATTATGCCTCAAGATTAACCCATTAATTTGAGATAATGAGAATTTTTATCATTGCATTTCTATGGCTCAACTTCAGGTGATGGAAATTATGCTACAATTAATAGGCTAAACAAAGTTTAACAAAGGATAACTTCTAGAAAACCTTTTAAAAACCCTTGTAAGCCTAATTTCCAATGAGTATTTCCATGTCTCTCTCCTTTTAAAGCTAATCTTTTTTTTAAAGTCTAACCTTAAATCTCCAAAAGGAAGAGTAAATGTGAGATGAAAAACAAGAGTACACTAATACAGGTACAATTTCCATTGGTTTCAAAGCAGATTTGGATTAACATTTTGGTCTGAACTTCATATTTTAAAACTATATATCACTCCCCCCCACCCCCCATGTAAACAACTAAAAACACATATGGCCCAAATACCTGTGTTTCAAGTGGCATGAATTGATAGAAACACAAACAGAAAAATATTAATGAAAGCATAACTTCTTTAAAAAAAAAAAAAAAAAAAAAAAAAAAATGTAAATATTACATCATCCGTTACTACCCAATGTCAGTTGGAATTTCAAGCATCTTGAAGAATCTTCTTATAACTGATCAAATTTTGATCAGATTAATTGAAGGTCAGACTATAGTACTTTTAGCATTATTGTTATGACCAGTAATAAAATTTCTACCAATATATATTTTTTTCATATTCTCATAATTTTATTTATTTGCTGTTGTGATAACATTTAAAATACTGGTTCAAATGATTTGGGGAGGGGGAAGAAGAATATAAGTAAATATCAGCACCAAAAGAAAAGAATTCTTTTCAGTCAAATTTTGGCAAGGAATATTTAGAGAAAAACTTAAAAAAAATATAGCCATATTTTAAAATATTTTAACACTAGTAGGCATCCATTTATCTCACAAGATAAAGGTAGCACCCTTTGGTCAAAATTCAATTTTTTGGTGGTGAAACTGCAGTAATTTCTCCAGGGTACCGGCCTGGGCAATGATATATGGAGGCTGCATGCTGTTCAGACTACATGGTCCCACGCTTAGACATTACATTTGAGGTCAGCTTGGCTGCAGGAATTGCTGGAAAATCGTCACAGTTGACAGCTGTGGCACCTTGCATTATTAGAAATATTCATAGAAATATGATTTAATTTTTTTTCTTACTCAGTTTATTAAACAGGTTGTTAATTTTTTTTTAAAAACGGAAAATAACTGAGTTGAAAATAATTCACTAAGAGTGTACTAGACGATCCTAAGGAAAGAAGAAGGAAAGAAAGGAAAAAGGAAGGAAGGGAAGAAAAAAGAAAGAAAGAGAAATGTATGACGATGACCCAATTGAGGGTGGAGATAGGAGTCAGAAAGAGAATTAGGTCAGCGTCTTGGCCGATTTTCGAAAGTCATTTTGATAAAGAATGTCGGTCAAAGCACCTAGCCTACTTTTTGCATGGAAAGACACCTTATCAATTTGGATAAAGAGAAATTTTGGGAACAATGAAACAATTTTTAATCAGAGAAAAAAGTGTCTTTTGGGTTGAGGGGAGTGACGGTGGAACGATATACAGACCTGTTAAGAATTGGACACCCACGTTAATAAAGTAGAGACATTTCAATGTAGATAATTAAGATTTTTAGACTATCAGGAAAAACAAAGAGGTAAAAAAGAGGGACAATTGCTTTTTTTGGCTCACAGAGGGCGCCAAGAAGGCGGAAAAGATCCTTTCTAAAGTCAAGACTAATTAGCAGCGGGCTGTTTGACAAAGTCCAGGTGAGAAAAAGCCAAAGATTGTCATTTTAAATGCGTGCAAAAAAGGGAAAAATTGGATTTTGTTTTTTTTTTTAAACAAGAACGATGTAACCACGCCCGCAAACAGAGGGGAGAGGATGTTCGATCAATAACAATTGGTCGAATACGATCACGTGACCTGCGGAAGAAAAGGGAAAGAAATGTTCACCAATAACAATTGGTCGAATACGATCACGTGACTTGCGGAAGAAAAAGGGAAAGAAATGCTCGATCATGAACCATTGGTTAAAGCGGTCACCTGACATACGAGAGACTAAGAGAGATGGATGTGCATACAAAACCAAAGGTACTGTGAGGAAGTAGGGGTGAAAACAATAGCGATAATGAGAAGACAGAATTAATGCAGCTTTTGGAATTGTCGAGAGAACCCTGACGCCGACAGACCCACCCCCGGTTTGTTCTTGGCGTCAATATAAGCAGGACCCCAGTCGACAGAAATCAGTTGAGTTGGAGTTGCAGTTGAGAGTTGGACCGCGGGCAGGGATAGAGCCTGAACGCGGCCATCAGGCCCGATTCACTCGCCCCTTTGCGGGCAGAAGAATCCTCAGACAAGAAATCCTTCCAGCCCAAGTCGAAGACAAGAAGAACTTCCAGCCCAAGTAGATGAAGAAGAAGATTGCCTGAAAGCCTGAGAAGAATTGGAGCTGCAGACAAGCCGAAAGTCGATGAGAAGTTAAAGTTCAGCTCCGGACGGCAGTGAGAAGAGACCACCTCAGGCGACAGAGAGTTGCGGCTAAGTTGAAACAAGAAATCTTCCACCAAGTTGAAACAGGAAAACTACCAGCCCAAGCAGACGAAGAAGAAGAAATACAACTCAAGTCGGAGAGAAGAATCAACTCACGAATGATCGATAGAAATTAGCCCCAGTGTCGAACTGAACCACACTCCGACATACATACATGATTCTAGAAAGTAGGTAATTCGACATTTTTCTATTGTGTGATAGAAGCTTGGTGCCATAGTCCACAGAGCGGGTCGGGAAATGAAAACACTTTTGTTTTTTTATGTAACGGACTTTAAGATATAAAAGGTTGTTACCCTTTTTATCAGCAATTTTGTTTGGTGTCGTGAGTTTTTTATTTTATTTGTGTTTTGCCACCCCGTCGGACTCAACTTGTATCGGCCCCGATCCCTGCTGGTCCCGTCTGTCTAAGATCTAAACACAGCGTGGGTAGACAGACCGGAGATCGGTATAGTTGCTTTAGTGACCAGGTATTGGGCAGTCGGGAAAGGCGAGGCTGGTGATCATCTGACCAAAGGGTTGGAGCGCACGCTTGGACCCAGGAGGAGCGACCAGGAGGAGCGACGTCACCGTTGGCGCCGTAACCAAGGGATCCGACACTGGGCCAGGTGTGTAACCGTCACACAGCCAACTGCATTTAGGGCTGCATTCCAGGCTTTCTGTCTGGTTTTACTTACTCTGAGACAAACTGCCTTTTTGGGTTGCATCTCCTGAAGGCAGCTGGTTATAAATGCCATTTTTCCATCTCATGGTTTGGAGTGGACTTAGTTGTCAGAGGCTATTTGAGACTGATGCGACAGAAACATTTTATAGACTGTAGGAGCTTGCTCCCACTATCATGCTCAGCTATGACAGCCTTTGGAATATATATATATATATATATATATATATATATATAAAATGTATGTATATAAACATATATATTTCATGTTTTAGAAGCTCTAAAAAAATTTTTTTTTTTAAATATTTAAAATGTTAGGTAAACAAAAACACAAGAAAGCAAGACAAATTACAAAACAGTACATAAATAAACATACATATTGAAAAGTTTGTTAATTTTAGAAAAAGATAGCAGAAAGAAAAAAATGAAAATATAAATTGGGATTTAAGCCTAAAATAATCAAAGATAATAAAGCCATTATTTAATATACAATAAAATAATTTATACTTCTTTTTTCACAGTACTAACACCTAAACTATCAATTGGTAAAAAAATGAATGCGAGAAAGAAAAAAAAAAGCAAAGTTGATAAATATAACTTTAGGTAAGCAAAATCAGAACATGAAGTTGTAATTATAATTATATATGATAATATCTAATTATGTATTCATAGGTGTAGCAAAACAGGGATCTTTCAGTGTTAGTTTAGTACTAGTAATTTGACCATCAAAATATAAGAAAAATGCTCATTTTTTTTTAGTTTTAAGTGTGTCTTACATAGAGAGAAATACAGTACTTTGTATTCTGCATAAAAGATATCAAAAAAGTTCTTTTGTTTAAAATTCATTATTGTTTCGGTTGTAATTTAATGTTGAAGCTTTGAATGTAAAGCAAGCGGAACAGGTTTTTATAAAGCTTTAAATCAAGATGAATTACACATTGCATAAAAAATTTTATGCCAGTAAAAAAAATTGTTTTAAATTTAAGAATACAAGTATACATAAGAAAGAATTTACTTCAAATCAGAAATAAGTTATTACCATCTTTTTTAGTTCCCTTGACCAAGTCTCTTTCACCATTTTGCGGATTTTATCGTGCTCAGCTCTTCTTGATGACAGTGGCTATAAATGTAGGAAGAAAGCTTCGTTTCAGTGCACTTATTCACAAAGAGAGGTTATATGGTTCTAAGACTCGGATATTTTAATACTTTTAAAATACAAATAGCCCCTCTACTTCTAAAATTATGAAACAATGATCAAGTATATGTATTTCAACAAAGCTATATTGACAGGAAAAAATCATAATGAATATACTGTTACTTCATACTCACACAGAGATTTCCAACCTTATCTCAGATTAGTTTATGCAACAGTTGCTTAATAGTAATACAGTAGTCCACCACTATTAAGCGAACCAGTTTACTGCAGTACCAGGTGTACTGAAGGGTGGGTGGTGGACCGCAAGATTTTGCTTTTGCACACTCACTTTAGAAATTCCACCCTATTTTACCAATTACTGTGCCATCTTCTTCACAATAGACAAAACAAACAGCGATCATCAGATGGATCCTAATTTGTTTTTAATGATTACACCCCTTTTTCACACGTTTTACCTTGATTTTGATGATCAAACAACCCAAATTTTGCAAAATTTTAACACCTCAGCTGTTTCACACCTAATCTAATCTGTTCAATTTGACTGTCCCACAGTAGATTGCAAGAATTTCTCATAAATAAACAAATATAAATGGCGCGTAGTAATTGGGGGTCGTAATTGGGAATTGCAAGAGGAAGTACTTTTGAGGATGGTAAAAATTTATTGTATAAAAAGTCTGCTGTAAAACACTGAAATAAATTGAAATTTTGGTTAATTTGCTTTTTAAGCCCTGCATTAAGTATCTAATAAAAATTTCCTGAATAGTTAAATTTACATGCTTAATTTGAAAACAACAAAGAAATTGATAAAATGTACCTTTTTGGAGTTATCAACAATAAAAGTTCTGACTCATTCACGTTGCGACAGCCATTACTGGTGTTGCTTGCATATATTTGCTGCAGAATAGACATTAACTTGTCTCAATTATTGTGCGCACACTGATGCAAACAACGCCAATAATGACTGTCGTGCTGTAGCTCACAAATGAGTCCGAATTTTTATTGTCAATAACTCCAAAACAGCAGATTTTATAAAAATCTGTTATTTTCGAATTAGGGAAGTAAATTTAGAATAAAAAAAATAACCGTTCAGGAGATTTTTATTAGATACTTAACACAGGGCTTAAAAAGCAAATTACCCAAAATTTCTTATGGAATCATTGGCATAAATTAGTATAATTTTTTGAGGTTCTTTTCGAGTCATTATCTACGGCATATATCATGAAATAGGACAAATAGGGCCCCAAAATCAGGTAAGTGTTCAACCTCATATTATCACCTAAAAATACAAACAGAACATTCTGTAATTGATATTATATTCGTACAAGAAGGTTATCATGGCAAGAGGTAAAGAATTGACAAATTCACAAAAAGAACTGATTATTAAGCTCTGGAAAGAAGGTAAAAGTTACAGGAAAACCTCAGACGGCCTGAATATTCCATTTACTACCATTAGTTCATTCATTGCAAGGTATAAAAAAACTCAAAACTGTTGAAAACAGGTGCTCCATGGAAGATTTCTTCAAGATCTTTGAGAAAATTAATGTGTCAAATTAAACAAAATATAATGGTTACTTGTCAGTTAAAATGGATAAATGGGTTACTTGCCATTAAAATGGATAAATGGGATTTATTTCTATTAAATCAAATACAAGTATCCATTAAAAATAACATTTGAAGTAATAAACACAAAAGTATAAAGAAAATTATATAAATACACAAAATACAGTAACAGTAAAACAATGGAATTTTGTTATTCCTATGATACAATTATTTTACCGTTACAAAATTGGCAATTTCTTTAATAGGACTTTAAGAAGGTGTAAAGAATAAGAATGTATACCCGCACAAATTTCTGTGTTTGCAAAAGTGTTTGAGTTGCTTGACAATTAGTGGCATATTCAGTATCCTACAAAAAAAATGAGAAAAGTAAAGTGAATAGAAAATTAAGAAAAATATAAATTTACTCACAGAAATAACATTAATATTATAAATAAAAAAAATAATGTTCTCCATCTATTACTATCTGAAAATAGCACACACACAGAGTTAACTTGATATCTTTGTGAGCATATAACAATTTATAAGTTTTAATTTAAGATGAAATGACCAAGTACATTTATCAAGGACATTATATTGGTGGTGAGAATGCATGAAAATAGATGTCTCACACACATACACTTGGGCCAGGGAAACCTGGCAGACGTCCTCTCCTAAATTGTATGGAACTTTGGTTGTTTTTTCTTTTTCTTTTGCCTCAACTGAAGGGCTTCTTTGCATTTTGGTGGGTAAGGACATTTCTTGTTTTTTTGTGGGGAAAAAACTGGGAGTAGAACTTGAAGTATGAAGAATTTTTTTCCTGAAGGGACTGAGATCTTTCCTGAATGGGATAAACTTCCAGGGGGAAGAGTGAGTAGATCTTGGTTCAGATGATGATTTCTGAACAGAGTAGGATGGGGTAGAGGCTGAGGGGCATGATGCTTTCTTTATGGGGATTCTGTATATATTTTTGCATTCAATTTTACTTACACACACACACACACACACACACATGGGATCCTCAGTCTTATCTTAGTGTACGTCATGCAACAGCCACTTAATAGTGATATCCTGTAAATAAAGCTTTTAAATTTGTAGATCCGGTAGGTTTTAAAGCAACTAGAACAATGGTGGACAACTATAACCTGCAGGCCATATCTGGCCAGAAGCAGGTTTGAGTTCTGCCCATGAAAACATTTCAAAGAAAAAATTTTTTTATGCTTTATTCCATGTTTTTTTTCAATTTTAGTTAATGTCTAATGGAAATAAATAACAAATCTAGGACAATTTATTAATTTCATTGAATGTTCATAAAAAATGACAAAATTTGTAAATACGAAATTACAAAGTCATTTCATCTTAGCCAACATAAATTGTGTCAGTGTATTCAGTTTACCACATGACACGTAAGAATCATGGTTTTCATTGTTTCCAATGTGTCAGTTATTGGTTACTATTATTTAATGGTAAATGCTAAAAAGAGCATGAATATTTACTAAGCATAGTTTAGATATAGCACAAGACCAAAAGTATGAAGCACACAGTGAGGACTGAACTCGCTACTCATTTGTAAATGATATATTGAGACAAACTTGCTAACAATTACACCACATGAAGGGCTCAAGAGAGTTTCTTAAATGTTCATTATTCCAGTATTTTTTGCTGTGTCCTGCCATGAACCTGCTAAAAAACATACCCCCCCCCAAATAGTTCGCCCAACCCTGATCTAGAATATTCATAGGTAGCTCTGTAAATTTTTGGCAATAAGGCAATGTTGAGAAAAACGATTTGATTGCTTAAAAGATACTTATTAAATGACAATTCTCTTTAAAAAGTATTTGATTTACAAGGTGGTCAGAATAGAACCCAGTTGCAATTTGGAACTAGGTGTACTAAGATATTATGATACCAATAAAATAGAAAATGATACATAAAATCATAACAGATGACATAAATCTAAAGTTTTTCGTCTATGTCCATTTTTCAAACAAATTATTCATATAAAAATTATTGTTGCCCATTTTTAGAGGTTCTGATTTGAACACTTGCATCCAACTATTAACACTTATTTGTAAAGAAAAATATGCAATAATTTTTTATGCTGATATCATAAATATAAAAAAGGTTTTATTTAAAATTGAAATTGATAGGATGGTTAAAAAAAATATAAAAAAAATAATCTAGATATAAAATAATATTTACCAATTATAAATTGATAAATATTATATATCAGGATCAGCAACTTTTTGCTACCTATGTGCCGACTTAGGGTTTTAAAATCATTTAGTGTGCCAACAGCATACATATTTTTATACAAGTCAAGGTCAATATACCCGTTCTACAATAAATTTCATATGGTAATATATAGTATATATACTTTAGTATATATTAAAATTGAAACAGCTAAATATCTTCTTTGCGTTGTAGTAGTTATTGGTTCAGACTTTGTGATGTCATTTGGAAATTGTTTAGTGTGCCACATATAGCGCACTAGCTGTAGGTTGCTGACCCGTTATATATCTTATAATAAAACCAATGTTTTTAAGCAACATCACATCAGTATTTTTAAATGATTTTCCACCAGAAGGCTTCACAAAATTCTATGTAGTTTTAATTAAGTGAAGGAGATTTCTGAACATTTGTTGCCTTAATTTCTTCATAATTTCACTAATCATCTTCATGAAATGTCATCAATAATGCCATTGTTATTTAATCAATGCTAAGAGAATATTTCCGACATGATAATTACAAACATTGTTCAAACACTTTAACCTCTTCTTGAATTTGTTGTTAACATTAGATACACAATACTAATCCCAAGTACCCAGACAATTCCAAAGAGGTATTTCCTAATATATACTTTTGTGATAATATGAAATGTAGTCCCAGGGAAGATTGACAATAGGCTCTCTATGAGAAATATCTAAAATGGGTACAAATTGCACAATGGGAAGGCTATTTTTTAATCATTTCATCTCAAGTATGGCAATAAAGCCACTAAAATGCAAGGCGGTTACCAAGTATGAAAGGATATGAGAAAAAGAAAAACATTAAGGAGAGTAAAGAATAAAAGAACAGAAATTAAAACAAAAGATAACAATTGACTGCATGTAAATTTTTGAAGGTCAAAGTTGATTGCAAAGCAAGAGGCTGGAAGAGTTCCGGTGGCAATGAAGGAGAAAACCAAGTCTTGCATCAGAAAAGAATTTGCATGCTTTGTGCTATCTGTCAAACAAGAAAAATCCAAATCAAGATCTGGGCGGGTGGGGGTGACTTTAGTAAGTCTTGAAATATAGTAATTGTTTGCGCTTCCCTACCAGTCTTGATCAATTACAATCTTTCTTATCCCAATAAAAGAACTCTACTTTGGACCACATAGTTGTTTTTTTTTTTGTTTTTTAGCTCTTTGTGGGTGAAGAGGTAGTTGTGTATTCATGGTTGTGATGTGAATTTTTTATGCTTTTGATTTTGGGCCTTGGTATTTTCTAGTGTTGGACTTGTGAGACCGATTTTTGACCCTTGGAATTACGACCCTTGGACTTATGATTTTCTGGATCTGAACCTCCCAATTGCTAACTTAAATCAGTTTCACAAGTTCAACATATGATTGGCATGAATTATGAGTATAATAAAAAATGAAATTAAAAGAACAGTAAGGGAATTTAATTAAAATCATTTGAATTAGCACAAATTGGAATTGTCTAGGTTTGAACTCATGACTTAACAGGTTTTAATTAGCATGATCGAGTGAAACAAGGAGCACCGAACCCTCACCCACCACTAGAAAAATGACAAGATAAACAAGCTGGCCCATAAGATCTTAGTCAAAATTCAGTTATACCATTTTATTTGTTAATACTACTCTCTGTTCTGCCTTGATTGTCTATTAGGGCCAATAATTCAGCTGATTTCACCAGTGTGAGACTAAGGATGAAGTCATCAAAACACTTCCCCTGATCCTGTTGCTATATCCATAAGCAAACTGATTTGTGACTCAACACCTGAAAGAAACATTCTCCATATATACAGAGACTCACCATGAAATGAATCAGTCAGCTTTCTATTGGTAAAGCAGAAACAGAAAGCTATGATTGCCTGAAGAGCCTGCTGCTCTTTCATCAGCCATTCACTCGGCTAGACCATATTTTGCATGTCAAGGAAAAATTAGATGCAAAAATTATATACAGAATCCCCATAAAAAAAAGTATCACGCCCCTCGGCCTCTACCCCATCCTCCGCTGTTCATAAATCATTATCTGAACCAAGATCTACTCACTCTTCCCTCTGCAAGTTTATCCCATTCAGGAAAGATCTCAGTCCCTTCAGGAAAAAAATTCTTCATACTTCAAGTTCTATTCCCAGTTCTTTCTCCACAAAAAAAAAAAAAAAAAACAAGAAATGTCCTTGCCCACCAAAAGGCAAAGAAGCCCTTCAGTTGAGGCAAAAGAAAAAACAACCAAAGTTCCATACAATTTAGGGGAGGACGTCTGCCGGGTTTTCCTGGCCCAAGTGTGTGTGTGTGTGTGTGAGAGAGACATCTATTTTCATGCATTCTCCCCACCAATATAATGTCCCTGAAGTGTTATATCTGACCAATTAGTATCCAACAATAAATAAAAGTCTGGTGATAAAGAGACCATGACTGTAAAATCAGGTAGTGTAGAAAATAGAGGAAAGAGATAAACTACAAGGTAAGCTTCAAATACTTTGGTGTATTAATCAGTTATAACAAATTTAGTATAGAAGATAAGGAAATTGAACACAAAAAAAGGCTTTGTGAGATATAGTTTCACAAAACACTGCAAGTTGCTACAAAATCAAAATATTAGCTTAAAACCTTTAGTCATGTTCTTAAATAGCCTTATTGGATTGAGATTTTCATATGGATGTCAAACATGGTGCCAGACTGGTTCAGAAATATCTAAACTGTCAACTGTATAAAATTGCTTCCTCAGATCAATGGTTAAAAAGTAGCTTTGAGCAAATGAAGCCTGTTGGTCTTAGCAAGGACCATCTTTCTCCAAACCTCTTGGACTGGCACTATAGAATCACAAAGAAATTTACCAAATAACAAAAACCACATCACTTGAGGATTTTTCACAACAGCAACAACTAAAATGGAAAGCATATGTAACAGAGAAAATAATGACATAATCAAGATGTTGAAATTCCACACTACTTCAAACAAAAGGTTAAGAAGGAAACTTCCATCAATACTGGAAAGAGCAATAACAATAACTGGACTTGATAAACCCATTTACCTGAAACATTGTTTGAATAGAAAGATTTTATATATTTCAACCAAAAGCAATACTAGCTGCTTGATCAATGAATGACAAATTTTTCTTTACAAGGAAATTAATAATATTCCCATTAGAGATAAGGAGAACTGATACTACACTTTGATCCCAGCCTGGTGTCCAGGGATTGAAAAAAAGCATATCTCAAATAGCACTGGCTGCTCATCAATGAATGCTAAATGTTTCCTTTTAAGGAAAAGTGTAATATTACTATTAACATCTTCTTAAGAAAGCACTTCATCAGTTAGGAATGAAAAAGAAAAGGTAAACAAATTTTAACATTAAAGACAGATTTACAAATGAAATTATATGCTTCGGTTATTATTTGATAATTTGACAACTTGACATTAAGGAGGCTTTAAATCAACTTCTACCAAACTCAGCAAAGACAAAGAAAAATATTACTTAGCTCTTTAGCAGCATGTATGGACAAGGCAGGAAGACATTTTGACTAGGATCATGGTCTTCTCAGATCAATATGTATGAGTGAGTAGATCTCTGGTTCAATCTAAAGTCTGTTGGTGTACACTTAGTAGTAGTGTTGAAATCCTTACACACCCAATTTATGCACTTGGCTGACAAGTTCTAATATACAGTTGATAATGGCTGAAGATCGAATTAGCTGAGTTGTTGTGTTAACATCATCAAATATATTAAAATGCTTGATATTCCAAACAATATTTAGAACAATAAAACTCTTCTCAAATTTAGAGAAAATATGATCTTTCTTTCATGATTTCTTGGAGATTAAAGTCAGGCGAATTTTCTAACCATTTGCTGAATCCAACTTTTTAAAGAGATAAGGAAAAAAAAAAAAAACAATATCAATATTTTTTGCCTAAGTATACACAATCCCTTTTTTGATTATCAAGCAAGCTCAAAAGAAAGAGGTAAATACATGTGGGAAATTATTAATACCATTAGGGTCCATTTAGGGTAGTATGTATTACACTTTTGGAGAGAAAGGGAGCCAACTGCAAAAACAGTTTATGAAGAAACCTGTTTATTTAATGAGGGTGTTTTCAATTCCTTAGCCCTTGACAGTACAGAGTAGGATACTCAAGATGATTGGCAATTAAAACCTTTAAGGATTAGATCAAACAGGTTAATTTTCCCCTTTATTTAAACTTGTTATTCCAAGTTTTATCCCACTTTCTTAGTGTTCTTACCATTTCTTTTGTCTCCCTCTATTTTCCAAGATGTCAATACAGAGATAAGTTATTATCAATGATCAATTCAATCAAGATCAGTTAGAAAATAGAAATGAAGACAGAAAATATAACAGGCACTTTAAAATAGCTTATGTCATGAATAGAAAAAATGTATAATAATATTGTTCACCTGAATTTATGGAATGAGGAGTTATTATTTACATGCTTTACATTCAGACTATTGTTTCTATCTTTGTTGTTGTTATCACAATGTTTCAGTTGTTGTGCCCTTTGGCCTTCATCAGGTGTATATCAATCTGGGTAACCTACAGGACAATAGCTTTGGTTTGCAAATTTGGTGACAGTAATTGTGAGTTCAATCTCTGGGTCAGGTAGTGTGTAATTGGACTCGGTAGAAAGGGGACAAGCAATAACTGAGCAGTACTAAAATAAGAACTAGATGAGATATCCCTAGACATAAGCAGTGCAACAAGAACAGTCTACCTCTGTAAATTAAATAAAGAGTTCAGTTTGGAATTCCCTGTAGGTTACTAAGATTGATATACACCTAATGAAAGCTGGGAAGAGTACAATGGGCAAAACATTGTGATAACAACAAAGATGAAAACAATAGTCTGAAAGTAAATAGCATAATGTTGTTCACCATGAAATATAAGAGAACAGAATCATATATTTATGAATAAAAATGACAATAGGAAAACTGGTAATTGCTGATGCGTTTCGTCCAATGTGGACTTTATCAAAACAAAATACGAAAATGAAATTACCAGTTTTCCTATTGTCATTTTTATTCATAAATATTGTCTTCTCTACCGATTAAATCAGAGAAATTTTCATATATATATATATATATATATATATATATATATATATATATATATATTAGAGAGATGTATGTATAGATATATAAGAGGTACTGACCTGAGACAAAAGTGTGCAGTATACAGACTGCAAAGGCAGGAATGCCTGCATACAGAAAAAAAAAATAAATTAGTAAAACATGCTTATATAATTTGTGATATCACTGGTAGGATTTATTAAACAAATATTTGAAATCTTTCATCCAGTTTAATGATTACATATATAAAGTGATACATAATTCTAGTATTAGGTAGTACAGTGGAACCTCGGTTCATGAATTTAATTTGTTTCTGAAGCCCGTTCGTAAACCGAAACTATTTTTCCGATAGGAATCAATGTAAAATGGATTAATTTGTCTCTGGTCCCAAGATGATTGCTTATTTAAACTTTAACAACAGTACTTTCTGTACAAGTTTAAATACAAAACTAATGAAAATCATTAAATCTAAACCCCCCCCCCCAACAATACTAAATAAATCAAATCTAGACAAACATTTTCATTATACCGTACCTGTAAGTAGGAGAGTTGATGGCATAAGTGAAAGGGGTAGGAAAGAGATGTTATCGTTTGGAAAAGGGAAGGAAAGATATGATTGTCTATTTATTGATAAGAATAGTATATATCATTGATTTTGCCATATGAAACTGAGTAAGAAGAGACAATATCAACAATTGTTTTTCTCTTAACTTTTCTTTTTCCTTTACTAGTATCACTGCTAGCTTCATTTGGAGCCATGACTGAGGATTAATGAAAAGAAAAAAAAGGCACAGTACAATAAAATTGGAAAAGAAATGGACAGCACAACACACTAATATATGGCGGTCAACTAAAACCTGATTCCGTTCGGGTTAACTTGGTTTGGCTTGGTTCAGCAATGTTGTTCGAGAACTGAAATTTTGTTCAATAACTGAGGCATTTTCATTTCGAATGTTATGTTTGAAAACCGATTTGTTCAACATGTGAAACATTTGTGAGCCGAGGTTGCTCTGTAGGTGAATAAAAAAAATGATAGTTATATTTTGAACCCACTATACGTAGACTTTAATCATTTTACGGTTGGTAGGGGAAAAAAATTGTTAATTTAACAGTGAATTCTCTTAATTTTTTTTACCCCAATGTGTATAATGTGCATTATAATAAATAAAAAATGCTACCTCTTAATTCTAGCAAATAATATACTTAAAATTATATAACACATGACAAATTTAACAGAATTTCTGCTAATAAAGTGTTCAATATTAGACTGGAGTGATAATTATTAAATTAGAAGTGAAAACATTCAATATTTATCGAAGGTCAACTCAGAGTTTCATAATGTTTTAGTCACTCAACCATACTCTTGACAAGAATGTATTGATCACAGAAATTCTATTTTATAAATCCATATTTATATTCTAATGTTCAAACTTAAATTTCACAGATACAACTGCCAATATCACAAGCTCCTCACAACAGTTGAAAAGCCAAATGTTGCATTTGTAATTTTAAAATTAGAGTTATAGTAGTTAATCTCATGAGTTCCCCACAATACCTCATGGGATTTTGTTTTTAATATACATGTATACACTACAATATACATAGAATATATATGTATACATTGTGTATTATGTGAAGATTATATTAGTGGTCAGAAATTAAAGACAATAGTTACAGAACAGGGTTAATGCATAAATGTAAATGCCCCGGTAATGATTTATATAGAAATGCATTGAAAATCAGGACTCAAAGTTTTCGGTAACAAGGAATTAATGACAGAATAAAGCTATTATCTATAATATAAAACACAATGTGACATTAGATATTTATCAGACAGTCTGAACTCCTTCATTTTCCAATGAGATATTCTGTTATTGATGGATTGAGTTTTTTTTTATGGCTTATCAACCTTTTGCAGGTTATTTAAAGCCAGAAAATATTTTTTGATTGTAAGAATTTTCTGGAAATAAGAATTATTTACTGATACAAGTCCTAATTAACCCATAAATGAGAGGAAAAAGGTGGATTTATACCTTTCCTGAGAATATTTGCACATAAGTGGATATAATGAATACAACTGGTATTGGAACTTGGCTCTCTGCGTTCCAATTCTAAGCTGTCATCCATTACACCACCCAGATATCCAAGCTTACAGCACCTGGTATTCCCCATCTAGATACTGATCAGGTTCAATGTTGCTTAACTTCAGTGGTCATATAAGAACCTGTGTTTCAACATGATATGTCTGAGAGTGTAATATTTTGTTATAGTGACAGCAGATGTTAATTGACACCAATAAGTAAACATTCCTTGTGTTACCATAACAATGAGATTTCTTAAGTAGAAAAATCAGATTGCTAATATAAAAACTTTACTTTTTTTATTTTATGTTAGAGTTGTTTATTTTTTTACCTTATTTAAATTTTTTCTTTTACATATGACAATAGGGTTAATTGGTATAAATAATTATAGTTTATACAGATAATTTAACTAATGCACTTGCAAAAGTACTTAAACATTTTTGTCAGTTTTATGATATAGTTAAACTAGTATATATAATTATTTTATAAAACTACTTAAAATTATTTATATTAAATTAATAATAAAAAAAGGATTGATTATCATTAATATTTGGTTAGTATTTCTTTCATCTTAAATTAAGTTGTTTTCTATTGAAACAACTCAAGCTACCATTCTATTAAATACCATATGTAATACACACTTGGGTAATCATGTTTCTTTTGATTCATGACTGACTTGGCAGAATATTTCCCACAGTACACTGCCTTTTCTTTCTGCAGTAGACTGGTTGCCAACCAAGGTTATAGAGCCTAGTTTGTCATGCTATTCAACCCATATCTGGGAGGAGAAGAGGGATTTATACAGTACGCCCCACCCCAGGTCTTTTGAACAAGAGTACAGTGATCCCTTGTTTATCGCGGTAGATTGGTTCCAAGACCGGCCGCAATAACTGAATTTCCGCAAAGTAGGGACGTCATATTTACAGTATTTATTTAACGTGTATTTGGACTTTTAAAACCCTCCCTGTACTGTTAACAACCCACCCATTACTACTGTTAAGCAATAACACTTTAGATTTTAAAAAAATAAAGATTGTTACTGTATTCAACACAATAGAAGTTGAAGTAGAATCTGAATGATGATGGTGATGAATTTGCTGTGCGGTAGAAATGATGAAGCTGATGATGACTTCTACTGTGCAGCTGATAATTGTATTTTACGTCTATTCGGATGGCGGTGCCCTTTCTATTGCTATTTTACGCTTGTTTTGTTGTTCCTAGACCAAGAAATAATATTTATTATTAATATTTTAATGGGTTTAACGAAAATTTTAGGTGTTCATATATCGCGATTTTTCTAGAATTTTCCAGAAACTCCGCGATATATTTTATATATATATATATATTTTAAAAATCCACGAAGAACCGCAAATTAGTGAGAGATCACTGTAGAGGTTTATCTCTTGTTTCCTGTTTAGGATTGGGTTTCCTGTACCTTCTAAAGTTTTCTCATTCTCATTCACTTCCAGTAACTGCTTGCATCTTAGTGGTATTATTGTCTTGCTTGGATGGGGGGGATGATTTAAAAGATAAAAAAATTGTGAATACACTGAATTGGAATCTGAACTTGATTCTCAGAGTTCTCATTTCGAGCCATTATTCATTACACAAAATTGTACACCCAATAGCCACCTGTATACAGTGTGGATCAGAAATAAAGAATCTCTTAAAAATGACTGACAAATGTATTCAAGGTTAATTTGCAGTGTAACACCCACGCTTAGTTTGCATTAAAAATTTCCAGAATACTTACATTTATCTTATTACTTGAAGCATTTTCAACTATTAATTTTTGTTTGGTATTTTTTCATCTCAATTTTAAGCTAAAAGCGGAAGACTATGGAAAGCTAAGCACAGAACTGATCTTTCTTGTCTCAATTACTGCACATGAGAACTATTTATGTAGACATGCTCAGTTTGCACAATGATACCTACACTGATAGCTATTCTGCAGCGAATGTATGCAAACAATGCCAGTAATGGCTGCCTGTGACATGAATGAATCTGAACTTTCACTGTTGATAACTCCAAAAAGGTAGATTTTATCAAATTTATCAAGCCAGATTCGAATGGAGCATATACAATTACACATGTAAGTGAAACTGAAAATTTTAAAATGTGAACTGAGTGTGGGTGTTACACTGCAAATTAACTGTATTCAATATTATTATTTTCTATATTAGTAGTATAAATAAAGCAACTAAAAGTAATACTAATAATGATTGATAATGCTTCATTTAATAATTCCATATTACTACGACTAATATTACTAGTGTAAATAAAGCAAAAAGAAAAAAAACACTAATAAAAAAAATTAATTACTGACAATGCTTAATTTAATAATTCAATACTCGTACAAGCTAGTAATATTGGCAGGAGTAATATCTTGAATTTTATTATTCTTATTTAAGCATTGTAAGTATTAAATTTTTTACCTATATTTTTTCATCTTAATTTTGCTTAAAATTGAGATGAAAAAATACCAAACAAAAATTAATAGTTGAAAATGCTTTAACTAATAAGATAATTAGCAATTAATTAAAACCATTAAAGTGAACATTAAACATCATTTCAGGCTAATTACTCCCTTATTTTAACCTTGTTATTTCAAGAAAAAATCAATTTGCAAAATATAAAGATAAAAAATTCTTTTCATCAAACTTTTACAGAAGATTTAAAGGAAAACGTAATTGGTGAAAACCACATGTTTAAAGAAAAATTTACTTACATCTTCCATAAGAGTTGGTTTTGCAGTTTGAGCTAGACGGATGAGATTTTTTGAGAATTCAGATTCTGGAGACAAAAAAAAAAAAAAAAAAAAAAAAAACAAAACAAAAACTAAGAGTAAAACCTAATTGTGTGCTTTCTTGAATTATTTATAACTGGATTACACAGATATATATATATATATATATATATATATATATATATAAAAAAAAAAAATATTCAGAGTGTGTGTGAATGAGAGAGTGACAGAGAGATCCTAATTTTCAAACAATTTCAATTTATTCATCTATTGAAAGAGTTCACAGGTACAATGTTTGGACATATAATCATCAAAAAGAATTACCCAACCTACTATACAAATAGAATAAAGCTGTTCATATGAGCAATTTTGTACTAGCCATTTACTGCTCTTTACTTCTGATTTGATGTTCTACAACCAGTTCTGAAATAATTAAATTTATACAAAAGATCCAGGGATGGTGTATTGGTAAGCGATTAAGTCTGGGGGTACAACAGATTGAGGACATTTCCTGAATTTTATTTTATCCAAATTTTTCTTCAGGTACAAATTCAAAGTCAGAAAAAGAGTAATGGAATAAGAAAACTGATTTAAAAATTAAAATTTCTTTTTGTTGTGAACAAAAAACAAAGTATGCATATAATTTCTAAAGAATTAATGGATTTAGTTTTAATTCAACACTTTTATTATTTCTAATGTTAGTATAATGGAAACTTTGTATTTGAAATAGATGCCCCATTTTTAAATCTTAGTAAAAAACAAAATAAAATGCATTCCCCCAGTAGAGACTAAATCTGCATCCCCCCTTTCGATCCAGTGTACTTTACTGCTCAACCCTGAAGAATGGCACAACAAGCAAGGCGCTATTTTTACCTTTTTTTAAAAAAATGCATCCTCTTCCCTTGGATTATCTTCTTGAAAGCTTCATATCTGTTCAGTTTCATATCCAAAATACAAACAAAGCAATTTCTAAAGAAGTAATGGATTTATTTTTAATCCAACCTTTTTATTACTTCAAACGTTAGCATAGTGGATACATTGCATTTGAAATAGACACACCATCTCAGGTCTATTTCAAATATGAAGTATCTGCTACAATAATGTTTATACATAAATCCCTCACCGCAAGCATGCCAGAGTTTCATGCACGATGCAATTTTCAGGTGCTGAGTAATGTTGGCATAGTTATATATTATGCTGGGAGATTATATATATATATATTTAAACAAAAATAAATAAATAAAAAAAATCAAAATCTGAATATTCCCCCATTCAAACAAAATTTTTTAACTTTCTTTTCTCACATACATATATAAATCCTGCTTATTTTAATTACCGTATTTGATAGCATATAAGGTGCACTTTCTTTTTTTTAATAAAAATATCTTTTAAAATTCCCCTGCATCTTATATACTATATGTAGTTTTAAAATTCCCCTGCATCTTATATACTATATGTAGTTTTAAAATTCCCCTGCATCTTATATACTATATGTAGTTTTAAAATTCCCCTGCATCTTATATACTATATGTAGTTTTAAAATTCCCCTGCATCTTATATACTATATGTAGTTTTAAAATTCCCCTGCATCTTATATACTATATGTAGTTTTAAAATTCCCCTGCATCTTATATACTATATGTAGTTTTAAAATTCACGATAGTTGGCTGAAATTAGCTACCTGGCAACTCTTATTAGCTTAGACTCTAGACCAATATTCATATACCTGTTACCATTATTCAAAAGGCTATTATGCAGAATAAAAGTGTTATCATTGATAATATTCATTATACTAATTTCATCTCATTTAATATTAGTAATTTATTTCACTAAAATTATATGCAATAAATTCAAATTATATATTTATAAAATATATTGGCTTCATTAATATTTTTCTTTAGAAAAACTTCCAGTTGCATTGGTATAAATACAATCAGAATGTTTATATCTTAATTATTCCAGGATGTACAGATCATATAAAGGATATAATAAAGTTTTTATAGGTTCATGTTCTTTTTATCCTATTATTTTTTGTTTAATTGTAATAATGCCTTGTTTAACCAAAATAATACCTCATAAATATAGCCTAAACTGTACCATTTACTAATAATTTTAGTAATTACTAATTTTTGCTTGATTTACTCTGCTGAAATTGGGGTACGTCTTATACACCAAAGTGTCTTAAATGCTCTCAAATATGGTACCTAATATAATTTTCAAATTTAAAAAAACAGTAATGCCAGCATAATATATAACTATGCCAACATTGTGATAACCAGATATAATTTAAAATTGTGTAACAGTCAGTTCATTATTTGTCTATATTTCTGAGATGGGGTGTTATGTTTATTATTTACATTGCTTGGACTATCATCCTCATTTTTGTTGCCATATTTATCATCGCATTGTATGCTCTGGCCTTCTTCAGGTGGTTGGAATGTCAAACTGAACCCTTTATTTCGCTTACTGGGTTAGACTGTTCTAGTTCCATGTGCCATGTCTAATGGATATCAGTTATCTCCTGTTATCTCCCCTCTCCAAGTTTTCCACCACCTTAACCTGGTATTGAACTCACACTCTTTGGGTCCTGTCACTGGATCTAACTAAAGCCTTTATCCACTGTGTCATGTGTCCTAAAATGTTGTGATAAATATGGCAACAAAGATAAGGATGATAGTCCGAGTAAGTTCATATTCAGCACCAGAAGATTGCATCGTGGATGAAAGTCAGGGTCATGCTAGCGGTGAAAGATAATATGTATATTTATTAAGATATACTTAATTGCTCTGTAATATTACATTGACCACTGTTTTATTAACACTAGCACTATATGTGCAATATATATATATATATATATATATATATATATCAGTCGAATCCATTACATTCACTTACATGCTAATACCCTTGGGAAAGCTATGAACCCTCTTCTCCCCCCAGCTATGGATAAATAGCAGGACAGACCGGGTTCTATAGCCTTGGATGGCAACTGGTTTACTGCAGAAATAAATGGCAACCTATGGGGGGGGGGGAATCTGCTTCATCAGTCATGACCAACTAAGTGTGTATCACACATGGCACATAACTGACTTTATATATATATATATATATATATATATATATATATATCTTGGTGGATTACTTAGTAATTAAAGTGTTATTGGTCAGTCTTCAACCTCAAGTAAAAGTCAGGTTCAGCAATGCAAGTTTTCAAGATGGCTAAGCCTTCCTGCACTTGCATGATTGGTGCAACAAATTCTTACTAATTTCTTATTAGTTATTTTTGCATCATATTAAATTAAACTAAGTAAATATTAGAAAGTATACCTGCTGAAACAGAGCAAATAATAAAGGAAAAAACTAAGAAAACATTTTCTCAAATTTGTCTTTGTTAAGGAGATATTTTTAAATACACATACTATTTGCTTAAAAATATTAAGATAGTTAAAGCAATAAAAACGGATTTGTTAAAAGAACAAAGAAAATAACAAAAAGAGGTAACAAAAAAGTTAACATAACTATGAAGTGGTAATATCAAAATACAGCACAATTAACAAAAAAGTAGTTAAACTGGTTTATCAGTCCTTTCTCATCAGGGCTTAATTAAATATGAGAATGAGAGGACCGATAAACTGGTTTAGTTACTTTTTGTTAATCATGTTGTATTTCAATATTACCACTTTAGAGTTGTTATCTTTTATTATTTTTTTTTATTGTTGCTTTAACACATCCTTTTTTTTTCCCCCTATTTAATTAAATTTTATATCTCTGCAAAAATAATATACCTAAGTCTGGCTGACAAGAAGAAGAATTCTATAAAAGATACCCTTGCATTTTCAGAGTTGCACTGTCTCCAGATCATTAAAAGGACATAACACTGATGCTTCATATATATATATATATATATATATATATATATATATATATATAAATATAATGAAATGGATTAAGTCCGACATTTATTTTATATATTTCCTATTTATACATTATTTTTAGATAAAATTTATTTTAGCAAAAAAAGCGGGAAAGAAACCAAAAAAAAAAAAAAAAGAAACGGGAAGGAAAAAAGAAAGTATCTAAATATTACACAGCATTAAATGAATAGTATTATTAATAAGCAGTAAATTACCACTTGAGCAGTACAATTAAGGGCTCAGGATAAAGTGCTCTGATGTGCAAAATTTCCTTCTAAAAAAATCATAAGCTGCTACATATAATACATTTTATGATTTTATATTAGAATAACAAATTTTCTTTATTTAGCTCTAATTATTTAAATTTTCTGGGAAAGTTTAACAAATTATATTTCATTTTTTTCTTAAACTAAAAAGAAATGTTAAGCAGTAAGTCATTTCATGAATACAACAAAAATAACATTTGTAAAAATTCAGTATAAAATGAAGTCAGATTTAGTTATAACAGTTGTTAGATATTAACAGTAAATTGTTAATTTCCAGCAGGTAAAAATCCATATATACTCACCTAATTGTGCTTTTTTGTCTATATAATAAATGATATCTTTAAGATATTTTGACCAGACTTTGGCTCTTTGTAATGCCTTATCCACACCAGAGTCCAATTGTTTCAAAATTACATTTACTTCCTCAGGCCCCATAGCACCTGAAAATAAAAGGAAAAGTTTTATAAAGAAATAAACAGTTTAGAAAAATTACTGAAATGATTTTCAGTGTCAACTTCAAGTTGCATTTTTCTAAGAGTTGACCTTTTTAAGTTTTACAAGCACATTTCTTTTTCTTCCACTTACAGTTACCAGTTACTGTGTGTTAATGATATAATAAATGGTAGAACAGAAAATAAACCTCTATGCTCCTAGATATATGAATATAAAAAAAGATTCAAAAGTGGGACAAAATTTTATGCTTCAAAGAGTTAACAAGTTACCATGATTTCTCAAGTACACATTATTCAAAATCTCAAATGAAACATTGTCAATTATCAATTTTTGATGAATATTTTGATCATCTTAATTTCAGTTACTTTTCTTTGCAACTACTCACTGTGTGTCACAGATTTATACAAGAAAGAAAAAAGTGAAATATTTAATATTGATCTTTAATGAATGCATTGTGGCTGATGCCTGTTAATTAAATTTATATTTGGTTTTATTGTACTGAGAAACAAAGATCTGTCACATTCATGCCACTTCTCACCTTGGTATTGACTGGTTTGATTTGTTTTATGGTATACCAACAAGATTTTTATTGATATTTTTTTTCAAAAATGTATTGTTGGTAATATTTTTTTTCAAAAAAAATTTTGTTGGTAATATTTTTTCCTTCAAAAATGTATTGCTGGTAATAATTTTTTCTTCAAAAAATTCATTGTTGGTAATAATTTTTTAGAAAAATGCATTGGTGGTATTAAAACCTATTTTTACACTTTCATAATGCTTTGACCCCAGTTTAGGGGTTAACTATTTGCCCATAGCTGGGACCCTAATAGGTGCTACCACCCCAGGTCAGGGTGGACCTGGGGACACCAGCAATTAAGAGGTGGTTCCATGCTCCTCAAAACCTCCTGATCAGAGGCGTTGCTGTTGGATGTAGTTTATCATCTTACCCAGGATACCTCATTTGAGGGTGGGATGGGGGGGTGTTTACCACTCTGCAGAGGTGCAGTTGGCATATTCTGAAGCCCCAGCTGATAGGGCAGGGTAAGTATTTGGTTCACTATACGGTTTTATTGTTTCAACAAATACAACATATGAAAATCTATTAATAATGATCAGAGATTATTCACAAAATGCTTATGTTTGGGGAATCTTATTTTCTGCCAAAGTTCTAGGTATTCTTCTTCATTAAAATTTGTTTTATCTTCAGCATCATACTTTAATAGCAATAGATTCTTCTGGTAACTTCCACTTCAACAAATATATTTACATTAAATATAGTCTATCCATGCAACCACTTTTAGGTTGACAATGTCTCAAACTGTTTTGTATATCAACTTAAGTGCATTATGTGGACTGCTGTATTAGTCATTAATTGCAAGATTATCCTTGATTGAAGAGAACGTGGTGACCTAACAAAATTAATTATTGGTTGATAATATCTTGTCTGAACAAATTTAGTTTCTCAAGAAATAAATTACATTTTTTTTTTAACATGCAATTTTTGCTTAAAGATTTAAGTTAAATTTCATTTTGGAAATTTATCAGCTAAGAAAAAAAAAGGATTTTTAAAAAAATTATATTGTCTTTTGTATTTTTAAAAGCTGCAATATAACATACCCTAATTTAATTAAACATGTCAAGCACTGACCTTTTGATAGGCCAACAGACTTGTGTGTGAAGAATCAATCAAACATGTCTCATTAATCCTCATAAAATTGGCTGAAACCTCGAAAACGTTTTTTATGGCTTATCAACCTTTTTCAGGTTATTCAGAAAATAATTTTAGATTGTAAGAGCTGGGAGAGAAGAAATGTATTCATACCATTCTCAAGGGTATTTGAACTTAAATTAACATAATGACCCTGGCTGGAATTGAAACTCTGCTCTCCGAGTTCCAATTCCAAGCCCTTATCCAGTACACCACATGCACATCTAAGCTTACAACACCAGGTATTCCCAAGTGGTCATCCATCTAGGTATTGATATGGCTCAACATGGCTTAACTTTGGTTTGAACACTTTTTGAATTAGATTTGATCTTGTTAATTGCATTTATTACGACTATCAAAGATAAACTTGGAATTTGCAACAAAATTCTATCTATGGATCATACAATGAAAATGTACAAAATGTGAATTTCTCTATGCTAAAAATTCCTGGCCACATCCAATTATTGTTGGTGCCTCATCTGTTTGTCAATGGTATTTTATGTTTTTGCAAGTATGATTTAAATGTTTGAAAATAAAATGCACTTTTTGTATCATTGGTAAGTGTTGGCAAAAAAACATTTCTTATTGCAGTACATTGTTTTCATTAAAATAATGAATAGAGGCCATTACTAAAACATTGTTATCAACCATTGTTGAGTCGTCTTCTTGAAACTGAAAAAATAAATCCATCTGGTAGTAAGAACTAATAAATTAAGTAAAATACTATGGTAAGAGAAAAATATATTTAAAATTTAAATTTAAAAATATATTTTAAAATTTTTAAAAAAGATAGCTACAATTTCTTATTTAACGTTTAGAAATAAAATTTTGTTCCATTTATCATTTTAATGAATATTAATAAAGACTTTTATATTTTTACTTATATCAATTCAGTGTGAATACAAGAATTAAATACAGCAGAATTTTTCTTTCGCGTTAAACCAATTCTATTATGGCTGCTTCATATTAGTAAAAGTTACTGCTATAACACATCATGTTAAAACACTGACTGCAAGCCAATTTTCTACATAATGATGGCTCATTTTTCTGGTTAACTCTTCCAAAATTTCCAGTCAGGGTGAATTGCTACTAATTGTTTTTGTCTGTCTACAAATGAAGCAGGCCTAAAAGAAAATGAGACTGAAGGCTTAGTTCTTGTAGATCCATCTCCCAGATAATACCTCTGTAGTCAGTTTCTTTGTGCTTGGAATAAAGTTATGACTCGTAAAGTCACCATTTTCTTTTTGGGATACTTTACATATGAGACATGTTCAAATCCATTTTCTACCAGGAGGTAAGCCATTTTCTCTTGTGTTACAACATCCCTATTACATAAAACAAATAGTGCCAAGGCACACAATGATGCCTATAGCAAATATTGGAGAAACTGGAGGGATATTTGACCTCATAGGGAAGCCACTAAATACTTGACAAAATGCAGGCATTTTAGCAACACATTGAATGAATCCTATAGATCTTAGCAAAGACCAACCTTTTTAAAACTTTTTGGATTGACACTACAGAATCACAAAGAACTATATATCAGATAACAGAAACCACATCACTTGAGGACTTTCAACAACAGCAACAACTAAAATGTTAATTGGAAAGGTAATTTCCAATTCCAGTCAAGCTTGTTATATTCACTTACGTGCAAATACTCTTGGGAAAGGTACAAATCCACCTTATCCTCCCAGTTATGGGTTAATTAGTAAGACTTGTATCACTAAATCTTTATTTCCAAAAGCATTCTTACAATCTAAAAAAAATATTTCTTGGTTATAAATAACCTGCAATGGGTTAGTAAGTCACAAAAAATAGATCAATTAATAGCAAAATTTAGCTACTGATGAAAATACATACATATCCAGATAATACAAAATCTCTCCCATAGATTTACCAGTCACCTTTCTGATCTTAGTTCTATTAAACATTTCTTAGAAAAACATAGCCATGTACATAATATTAGACAGATATTAGTTGATAACACAACATACACACACACATACAGTAAAAAGAACCTTCAGATATTGGAGGTCATCTAAATTAAAACAAAGCAATCCACACAACAAAATTACATTTCAAACTAGTCACAACACATTACATTGCATCTAGATACATGGTTCTGTCGTTAATATTTTGGTCTCTCATGTAGTACGACATCATAGGACCGCATCATGAAGTTATGACCTGTGTCTGCTATTCTGTGGCCATTATTGTTGCATAGCAATCTTCTATGTCAACATAACAGAATATCATCATTGATGGGGAATATCTTTGTTTAAATGTCCATATAACCACTTTGAAGATGGCTCATGTGAGCCAAAAGCTTAGATGAAGGAACAGTTTAATAAAAAATATCCAAATGTTGGACAATTTTTGTTTTTATTTCCACCCAAAATTAAAGCAACCATACAAAGTTTAGAACGGCTCATGATCAAACATAATAGACCTTCATTGTCTGTTATATTTAACAACATTATATATATATATATATATATATATATATATTAGAGAGAGAGAGAGAGAGAGAGAGCAAGTCGGCAACTCCATACAAACTGTCATCATGAACTTGCCTGTCAAACCCCCATTTGCAGAAGTGGATGGTGTCAGCTGAACTGTGTGTGAAATGGAGTGGTGACCCAGGGAGAACCTCAAACAATTCACAGCCAAGGCTTTCATGTTCAAAGACATTTCTTCATCTTATACATAGAAGGAAATGTCGATGAGCACCCCAATATTTGGCAACTATATATATATATAATTTGAATTCTAGGATACCATACATTGTTTTAGATCAGTATCTTAAAAGACTAAATCTCCCTGCAGATGAGAAAACTGGAAGTAACAGAAATGTGGTTCTACAGAAGAATACTGATAATTCCATGGATGGAAGACAGTAAGCAACAAGGAAGGATTAAAGAAAATGACAACAAAATGAACATTTATACTCAGAATCAGGAAGTGCCAACTAAAATTAAACATATGAGAAAGGAGGACTTGGAAAACTTAACCCTCACAGAGCATATTGAGGGCAAGAGAGATAGGGGAAGGCAGTGACTAGTTTGTGTGAATGGATGTTGGAATGAGGGGGTGCTTTAGCAAAGGGTGAAAACTGCTAAGGATAACAAGGGATAGGAAGTTGTGGAGAGCATTAATAGTCCATGTCCTGAAGCGATGCAGCACAAAGAAAATCTCGACAAGAACATGGAATTGTGAGTATCACAGGAATAAAACTTGTCACTTGGTTCTACAGTGTGTAATAGAAATACCTCCCACATTATAGTAAAACATTAGTGGCAATGATATCTTCATCTACCTAATATCTTACTATTGTGTGGGAGGTATTTCTGTTGCATACTGTATGATCTTTTTATATTGTGGTATTCTTACTGAAGAGATTAAAAAACAAAAAAAGTACTAAGCAACAACTGAAGACTGCTAAATTCAAAATACATGGGAGCAAGACTAAAATATATATTGGTTGTAATGTGTTAAATTTTTTTTTTTTTTTTTTCAGAATAAAAATGGTGAAAATCTCAGAACTTTACAAAATATTTTGAATTCTATAAGAAAGCTTGGAAAATTCTGAGAGGAGAAACTTGTGTGCAAAAGTTCCCAGCATTTTTTTTTTTTTTTAAAAAACAAGACATTGAATATAGAGTTGAAAATGCATTTTTCTTTCTTTTCCTCCTTACCTGGAAACTTGCACATACTTAACCTGAAAAGTTATGTGGTAATTTATGCATAAATACACAATTTGAATATTTTTCTACACTGCTAAAAATAATCAGGAAAATAGTGAGATTCACGTGCAGAATGAAGCAAAACAGTTTTTATTATTGTAGGTAATGTTGTGATTATGGCTCATGTTTTTTAATACATATGATAAAAAAAAATACAAATTTTTTAGTGTTTGTAGCTAATTGTAAGACAGTTAAAGTTTGTTAATTAAATGAAAATTACTAGGGGGGAAAAAAAAATGAGAAAAGGAAAAATAATGAAAAAGAAAAAAGAAAAATTGAAAAGAAACAGCTTACCAATTTCTTTGTTCTCATCGAGTGGAGTGTGTGGTGAACTACCTGCTACACTGGGAATTACTTCATAGGACTGAAACATGATGGTACCGAAAAATTATCAATGTACAAGGATGATAGCAACAGGCTTAACAAAATAACTGAAAGCTATGATGTGTGTTAAAAAAAAAAAAAAAAAAAAATTAACAAAAATGCATGAAATGCATTTGTATTTGTGATGATGCCATATCTACATATCAGTTACTCCAAGAACAACTTATGCTTGAATGTAAGGGCACACCCTATCTTTAGTCAGCATCCTCTCAGCAAACATTTCAACCATCATTACATTACATTGCATTTTCCAGATTTTTTTTTCACATTTTCTAAAGCTGTCAGCTCCAATATTCAGTCAATAGACTGTTTATTTTGATTCTCAACTTAAAAGAAGTGAAAATTATTAGTTTGTTGTGACAGAAATAATATCTTAAAAAGCAAATTATATTTTGTAAATATTATTTGCAACTTTAGTAGTTATATATTCATTGTTTTTTGGGGTTTTTTTTTTTGCTATTTCACCCCAAGCAAACCAACAAAAGCCTCTAGGAAGCAAGGGGTTACTGAGAGTGAAAGAAACAGTACAATAAAAAAAAAAAAAACAGGATTCAAGAAAACAGATGATGATTGACATTGCTTTTAAATTTTTGAAGACCATAATTGACAGGAAAACAAGAGATTTTCACAAGCAAAAAGTGTGAGAGGCGAAATTATTAGCATAGATTATAAGTCACAACTAAAATTTCAACAGTCAAATTATGAGACCTAGCTGCCAATCTAGTACTGCACTCCTGAAAAAAATGGTTCCTTAAGATGATTAATAGAAAATAGTTTTGTTTAAGACATTGAAATTAACAAGCCACTTTTTTACCCCAGTTTAGATCATTTTGAGATCAGCTACCAATATGACTTTATCAAACCTAGCAGAGTTATTAATAAGAAAGGAGTAAACAGTTGTGTTATTAGCATAGATACTAAGTTGGGAACAGATGACATCAGGAAAGTCAATGATAAAAATAGAGTGGGTCCTGAAATAGAGCCCTGGGGGATGCATGGATTAATGCAAAAATGATCTAGAGGAGAGGCTGTTCAAGATAACTTTCATTTTCATTATACTTCATGTGCAATCTCTGCTCAGGATGTAGGTGATCATGGTTCTCCACAATTTCCAGTCCTTTGTAGCTATTAATAAATTTTGTCATTTTGTTCTTTCTCCCAAACCCTGTTCCTCCATTTATTTAGTCAAGCTCAATATGTTATGTATTGTTTTCCTTTGTCCCTCTTGCCTTCAATCTGTCCTCTGAGTATCAGATTTTCCAACCCTTCTTTCCTCATGTGTCCTAAAAATTTTACATATTTTGATAAGACTGATTCAAATCAAAAGAAACAGCGAGGAACACTATAACAATTCTAAATGTGGCAAATCAAGTTCGTTTGAAGAAATGAAGGTCTCTTAATTGAAGCATACGATAAAGAAGATTCAAAATCCACAACTGATCTCTTATTTGGTTTATATAATAATATACAAACATACAGTGAGAATCAAAGTTGTTGTCAAAATATATGACTTAACCAAATATCATAAGATTAAAATAAATAAAATCCATGACTAATATAAACTATAAAAAAAATTGTAGTATTCAATTTCAGGAGAATAATTATTCATATAAAGTTTTCACAATGAAAAAAAAAATCATATATATATTTTAATCATTTCACCCCACTAAGGCAATAAAGTCACTAAGACACAATGGGTTACTGAGTGTGGGATTTTTGTATTCAAAATGTAAACAAAGTAATTTCTAAAGTAGTAATGGAATTTTTTTTTTTAAATCAACTGATTTTTATCACTTTAAATGTTATTTCTATTGGATACCCATATTCGAGTAGACATTCCATTCATTTTAAACAGTATATTTATTTTCCTGAAAAGTATATCTTAAACCTCACCAACCAGGCAAGACCAGAAATAAAATTCAGTTCTTGTGTCTATTCTCCTGCACCAAAAGTAGAGAGATGTGGTTCATTAAACTTTTTCAATAAACATTGAACACAAGTACTGAGTTCTTTTGAAGGAAAAAACAGATCATATAGAAACCCCTTTCATTCAGTTTTCCCATCTTTAGTCAGATATATAAAATTTATATGTATGTCATTATCTCATTAGGTTCCCTACAAATATACAGAGTTTAGGTTAAGTCAAAATAATTTTATGAAATTACTTGTTCATTCTTTAGCCAATAATTAAAATTAATTCTTACAACAATAAAACTAAAAAAAATTTTTTTACAATACTAGTGGTCTATATAAATCAACCTCTAGATTTTTAAAAAAAATTTATATTGAGGCCTTCATTTGCTACATATATTGTTACTTGCCATCTCTTGTTGGTTTTGCATCATTCTGATCACTAGTCTAGTGTGCATTATTTGTTGAAAACTGTGTGTAGTATATTGTATAATTTTGAAATCAGTCATTTATCATTCCCAGAGTTGGATTATTGATCTCATTTTTTGTTGTCACCACAATGGTTTGGCAAATTTATTCTGCACTTTTTTTTTCCAGATTTACATATTTAAGTCCAAATAAAAAGAATAATACAGGTCTATTTTTCTCCTTGCCCCTTAATAGTCAAAAAAAAAAAAAAAAAAAAAAAATAAATAAAATAAAATAAAATAAATATCAACTCTGACCGATTAAGCCAAAGCTCATATTTTATACCCTGGGCTCTGCAATCTTTTCTAAGCAAAATCAACACTAACTTATACAAATTTCTGCAATGCTAATATATGCAGCTTCTTTTAATTTACTTACTCTCCACCAATATAACCGTAGACTCCTCATATAGCATAGAATCACAACAATATCATGCAAAGTGATGCTGTAGTTTCAGTAACTTTTACAAATGGGAGTTGCTTGGTTTGATTTCAGAGTTATCTTTCTCTTAGACTGATTGCTAAACAAGGCCCACAGATTGCAAGGAAGAAGAGATAGATTCATAACTTTCTCAGTTGTAAGAAGGAAACACAACAGATATGGCTATCAATAGAGCTTGTAAATTTCCTTTTCTATGCCAATAAACATTACCCATCCCCTCACCATGTATTATTTGGACCTTATTTGAGGAGTAGTGTGAACCTTTTCCACTCCTGGTATGCTATACAAAACTTTTTTATTCAGAGTATGGTTTTCCTTTGATAATTCAAACTGTATGTTAGGACCAGAGTAGTTGCTCCCTTATTATGCCATGCCTGTAATCTTCTATTATACACTTTTCATATAAAAAGGTGAAGTTATTCCTATCAGGAAAAAAAAAAAAAATTACCTTTGTTTTTCCTATTTCTACAGGACAAATAACATCCATATCACCCATGAGGTATTCTGAAACGCTGGAAATAAAACAAGACATCTGTATTAATGATGTGCCTATTAATCATATTATTCTTCAAAATCCCATACAATAAAAGTTGCAAAAAATATTTTTTTGTGTCAAAGTCATTTTGGGAAAAATTTTTATGGCAAGATTTACACAAAAGCTTTAGAGATTTTATACACAGAGTGAAGCAGAAATAAAAGTTGATAATATTGCACAATCTAAAAGTAATTACAAAGTATAAAAAAATTGTCTATTTTTTGCATTCAAATTCTTGGGAATTGAGAAGTGTGCTACTTAAACAAAAAACAAAAAAACAGTTGTTAAATACATTGAAGCAAAAAATAAATTTGGAACCAATGCTGTATTTTAAAGATTTTTCTGTTCATACTTTTATATATATATATATATATATATATATATATATATATATATATATATATATATATATATATATATTAAAAGAAGAGAGGTACCATAAACGTTTTTGCTTGTAATGTGGATTTTTAAAAAAAAATATTATGCTTTATTTTCGATAATTTTACTACACGGTTTCTGGTCTCATGACTGTCTTCAGGTAAAAGGTGGAGATTTCCACATGTTATTAAAAATAATTAATTTTTTTTCTTTATGTTTTTCGATGTTAAATATTCTCGATATGAGACATTCTCTGTTTTAGTGTTAGTAATCCGAATGTCTTTTTTGAATTGGCAGTGAAGAGTTCTGCGAGAAGGGTCATAAAACAATTAAGGTTGGTCTGAGAGAAATGATGAATTACTTATCTGTATCTTATCTTTTAATGACCCCTCTTTTTAATATACACACTTTTCTCTCGTTGGAACCACTATAACCTCTTTCTTATATATATATATATATATATATAAATTGATTCTCCCATTAAGTGCTCCCAACTATTAAAACTTAGTTTTATTTTAAAGATTTTTTCCTCAAGTACTTTTAAACACGACACTGCTGAACATATTTAGGGAGTGTAAATTTCTTTATATCTGTAAATAATAAGAGAATTATATTCAAAGAAATCAAAACCTACCAGGGACAAGATTACAGGTTGAGTATCTTTTATCCAAAAAGCTTTTCAGGTGCAAACATGACTTGCAACAAATTGACGTAGTCTACTGTAGTGATAATTAGAACAAAAATATTTTCCCACCCGATTGCAAACGGCAGCGTATATGTTCCGCATGCAAGGTTTATCTTTTTGACTGGAAAAAGAAACATGGCCGCCTCCAGCAAGCTTGTATTGCGAATGGTCACGTATCCTCACGCAGACAGTCTCGTAAAGCCACGGAAAGTGGATACACGCATGCAAATGAAGCAAGGCGGAAAAGTAGATAAAAACGCTGAATGCTGGCGTTTGGGCAGTTAGAAAAATGGAGTCTCTTTTGTAACGTGGAAGGAGAATCGTGTAAAGGAGAAAGCAGAAGATTATTGAGAAAATTGAAGGAGTTTATCAGTTGTTGGAGTTTTACACCAGGCGTATCAAGAAGATATTGTGTTTTGTTCAGGAAGTTTCGTCAGACGTCACAGATTGCAACAACTACACCTACATTGGTGCCAATTTTTTGTTAGCGATCATCACAGCAACATCTTCATTTGTGGATTACTTACCAGATGTTTCATGCTCAGTAAAGATATTATTCAAAATGCCAAAAAGTCTTGCATTTATATATTTTTTTAAGTAGAGATCATGTTTTTGTCCACATACAGAAAGCACAAAATATTATTTTTACATGAACTCTTAATTTCACCACTTAAAAATCATGTGAGCAATAATATGACTAGCGTCATTACCTGTATGTACACAAATTTTATTAAATTTTATATAAAACTAATTTCAGGGTATATGTTATTTATATAAAACTACCTTCAGGATATATGTACAAGTTGTGTTATGAAATGTAAAGGGATATAGTGTTGATACTTGGGTTCCATTTCCAAGCTGCCATATACAAATTAAATAGCCTGTATTCCAAAATCTGAAAAAAAAAAAAAAATCAGAAAACCAGAGCACTACTGGTCCCAAGAATTTCAGATAAGGGATTTTCAACCTGTATTAGCTCCTTTTTAAGAATTCTCCTTTCTTTGAATCCTAGCACAAACTACTGTTGAGTACTGATGTACTTGTATTTTTTAATGAATTTATGAAGTTAACACTGAGTATTATCTTCCAATTTACATAGATAACAACTAAAGTAAGGGTTTTAGATGTCATCATGTGAAAAACCAAAGAAATTAGTTTAAACTTGTGAAAGAGAATTGTTGATGCTTACAAATCAGAAGGATTTTCCAAAGTTATCAAAACATTTCCAAGTGTCAAGAAATGGGAAGTATTATTAAGAAGTTCAAATAGTCACATATTAGAGAACAAAACTGGCAGAAGTAGGAAGCAAAAGATTTCAAAGACTCTGGTAAGAAAACTATTGAGTAATGCATAGAACAACTGCCAATATAATAGTGGCTGACTTGGTCATGTTTGGAATTAAAGTTTTAAAGAAGACATTACTAAAGGAATGGACTGCAAAGTCAAAGTCTAAAAATACTACTGAAGAAGAGATAACTGCAAGTCAGACTGAAGTATGCTAAAGACAACCTGGAGAAAGATGACGGATGTTGGAAGCATAACATTTGGTCATATAAGATGGAACTAGGAATTCTTTGGCTGTAGAGATGTTGCCTATGTTTGAAGGAAAAAAGGAGTGTTATAACCCAAAAAAGACCATCCCCCAACCTGACTTTGCAAAAAAAAAAAAAAAAAAAAAAAAAAAAAAAAAAAATCACTAGGGGTGTTACTTAAGCCTATAAAAAAGTGTGCATTTCTCTCCCTAGCTTCTCTTTTACAGCTTTTCAACTCTGGTTTTAAGATGTAGTGGTATGCGAGTAAAGTGTCTCCCACTGGGACATGTTCATTTCATGATTTTCTCTTAAGTTTTGTACTCATACACATTTATTACGTACACAAACAAGCAAGCACATTCTTATTATAGTTAGTTTCATGTTTTTCCTTGTCACATGTAATTACTTTTGTAAATACATGCATTGTCATTTGTTTTATTTATATTGTTTTGTGTTACTCATATTTTTTTTTTTTTTTTTTTGCTTAGACTCACATTGAGTCCACAATAACTGTTGCAGAGTAACTATTTCAGGAGAAATGTCTCTACCCAATCATAAGTACCTTGCAACAGAATCATGAAGAAAGAAAAATACAAAAAGATTTTGAAAGAAAACCTGAAGCAGTTTGCAGCAAAACTTGGTTTGGGTTGTTGTTTTATCTTGTGACACTGGGATCTCCAGGGATTGATCAAACAAATGGGGAAAGAAAGAAGGAAGGAAGAGGATAGAGTCTACTAACTGAATGATAATTGTTGGAAATTCTCAGGAAAATGGATTGAAAAGTTAAGAAAATTAAAAACAAAATGTTTTGAAAAATAATGTTCAAAGTAGAAAGTGAACTCCCGAGTGGTTTCAAGGAGAAATGAACCCAAATTTAACTAGACAGAATTCAGTAAGATTGAGCAAAACAAAGACTACCCATCCTTCCCCACTTTCTGCCAATGAGAAAGAGACCATTAATGTATCCTTCAAGATGCCAGATAGAAAAAAATATATGTTGTCAATAAAGAAATGTGGGTGGTCAACAAAATAACATTTACAGATCTGAACAAAAACCCAGGAAAAACCATCTGGTTTGAATAGACCACCCAGAAGAAAAGTGTCCCTACAAAGATAAAGATTAGCCTGACGGGTTCATTCATTTCAATTTCTGTGACATTCGTCAAGAAAAATTTTATATATGACATTAATTCGGATTCCTTTGGATACAATTGATAAAGAAAACTTAATTACTATTTTAGAGTTCTTGTTGACAGAGAAAATGCAACTTTTTTTTTTTTATCATTAAAGAGACTGGGAATATTTCTCTTTCTTTTCCACCCATGACAATTCTTGAGATTGGAAAGCAGGGTAGGCTCCAAACAAGTCACTGGCTTTTGGAAATCACAGCATGCGACAAGTTGATGAAGGAAGATTAATGACTGAAAATCCTTTTCCACCTACACATCATAAAAGTTTAGATTCATCCTAGGATGATGTGTTGGCCTTTAGAGTAGACTGGGGTTAGATGCTGAGAAAGAGAGAGAGAAAGTGGGAGAAGAGAGAGAGAAAGTGGGAGAAGAGAGAGAGAAAGTGGGAGAAGAGAGAGAGAAAGTGGGAGAAGAGAGAGAAAGTGGGAGAAGAGAGAGAGAAAGGGAGAAGAGAGAGAGAAAGGGAGAAGAGAGAGAGAAAGAGAAGAGAGAGAAAAGTGGGGAGAAGAGAGAGAGAAAGTGGGAGAAGAGAGAGAGAAAGGGGGAGAGAGAAAGAGAGAGAAAGGGGAGAGAGAAAAGGGGAGAGAGAGAGAAAGAGAGAGAGAGAGGGAGAGAGAGAGAGAGAGAGAGGAGAAAGGAAGAGAGAGAGAGAGAAAAGGAAGAGAGAGAGAGAAAGTGGAAGAGAGAGAGAGAGAAAAGAGAGAGAGAGAAAGTGGAAGAGAGAGAGAAAGGGAAGAGAGAGAGAGAAAAGTGGAAGAGAGAGAGAGAGAAAGTGGAAGAGAGAGAGAGAAAAGTGGAAGAGAGAGAGAGAGAAAAGAGAGTGGAAGAGAGAGAGAGAAAAGTGAAAGAGGAGAGAGAAAGTGGAAGAGAGGGAGAGAAAGTGGAAGAGAGAGAGAGAAAGTGGAAGAGAGAGAGAGAAAGTGGAAGAGAGAGAGAGAAAGTGGAAGAGAGAGAGAGAAAGTGGAAGAGAGAGAGAGATTCGCACCACCTATATGGAGCAATGCTGTGAGATGAGAAGAGAAAGGAGTTTGAGTTACGAGACAGCTTGGTTCCTCTGACCATTCTCAAAAGCGGGCTGGACAACCCAAAATTTGGAAAAATCACTCAAGTAAACATATTTTGAGAATATGAAATTTTAGAAAATGGTTGATAGTAAGAGTGGAAGATAACTGTACCCAGACCCTTGTCAACCCCACCTCTGCCGAATGCAGAACACCATATAAGCTGGAGGTTTGGACAACTTGAAGAGTCCTTATACTACTGCTACTTAAATCCACATAATCACCGAGACCTTCTGACCAAGACCATGTCTTGATTCTGAAGACCAGAACTTAGAAACTTAAATTACTACTAACACAAGCAGCAGACTCCAAAGGGGACTCCAGTGTCATTTAATTATAATAGTAATGGGAAGGGTTAAAACCACTCTATACAACAAATCATATATAACCCAAACGTTTTGTTACATTTTTAACCTGAGTTAATTCTTTATTCCAAATAATTCTTTTTTTTTGTGTAGCTCCAAGCAGTTGACCCATCTTCACTTTGCTTCATTAGTGATCTTCCCACCCTCTGAAATCAAAAACACAATATGGCAGAGGAGTGAATGGTCATGAAAAGACAAATGCCAGCTAAGTTGAGTGGAACAATGCCAATCATCATGATACCAGCGACATACCAGCCATGCATTAACGAGTGAGGAGTCAGTTAGATGGTAGCCATGGTGGTCTGAAGGAACTTTAAGACCAATGTGGGGCACAAGGATACATTATTGGTTGTTGTTGCCTATGATCGACACTTAGGGTTACATTCTAACATGACAACAACTCAAAGCATCCATCATTTCTGAAGAACTACCTCTAAATGAGCCAAAGTGATTGTTATTGACAGACCTGCAAAAAAAGTCTCAACAAATACCATAAAAAAGAAAAAAAAATGTGTAGTGAACTGAAGATCAGGGTCCATATGCCAGAAGCCCATTAAATCTGGAGGCTTTTGAAAAATTTGCAAAAGAATGAACTGGGATTCCTCATGAAATGTGCCTAAAACTTGTTGAAAACTATACTAAACATTATTCAGCACAAAGGATACCAAACAATTAGCATCACTGGGGATGCTAATAATTTTGACATTGGTATTTTCTTTTTTTTTTTTTTTTTTTTTTTGCTTCTGTGTGCAAAGTAAAATATAATCTTCCTAAATAAAATGAGTACATTTAGAAATGCTATATTAAAAATTCTTTGCTTTGTTATACAACAATTGGGAAATAAATAAATGTTTCATTGGGGTGGAAATTTTGACTTCAACTGTAGGATGGTGAAATAGAAATGGCCAGTTTTATTTTTAATATATGTTTCCTTCTTTTTTTGTATATGGGTGTATATGTGTATGTGCATGGAGCAGGAGTCAGTACATCCGGAAAGTATCCAGCTACTTAAAAAATAAAATAAAATTTAGATAGAAATAGCACCTTAGACCTTTGAAAGTATTACCTTTGGGACTTTACACTTATCCTAGTAACTTTTCCACTTTTCAAACCAATCTGTAGAGTCCTCTTTCATGATCCCCTTTAACTGCATTCTCTTTTATCATGTCCAATATGTTTCAATAACAATTTTAGCTATGCCAAACACCATAAGTTGCAGGGAGTTAAATCCTCTAAATTGAGTGGCTCCTGGGCCTTGTACAAGGAAAAAAAATGTTGAGGTGATGTGAGGTTTGACAAAAAAAAAAAAACACATACTGCATATAATGTGAAGAGTATACTCAATCTGTCATTGTGAAGGCAATGGAGTGTGCACTCAATATCTCAAAGTTAATTGAATAACTTTTATAAGTGAGTGTATCTTAATGCATGTGCAGTAAGGTCCCTCTAATTAGTTGCCAAGTTGCATTAAGACTATGCAATTGGTTCTAAAGATATTCAAAATTGTGAATACATTTCAGATAGACCTTATGTATGTGTGCACTATATATATATATATATATATATATATAGAGAGAGAGAGAGAGAGAGAGGCACAGTGGAGTAATGGATAGTGGCTTGGATTGAGGAATCAGAGGGCAGAGTTCAAATTCCAGTCGCATCCATTACATTCACTTACGTGCTAATACCCTTGGGAAAGGGATGAATCCTGTTCTCCAACCACCTATGGGTAAATAACAAAACAAACTGGGTTCTATAGCAGTGGATGTCAACTGGTCTAGAAGAAGGACAACTCTGAATTCAAAACCTGCAGAGGTTCGTTAGGGGACTTGTGGCATGTAGTGCACCAGTTCTCTATATTTGGCCCCTCAAAAAGTGTGGATGGTTCTGCTCAAAACCTTCACCACTATAATCAAATCCCATGTGCTGGCGTCGGGCTGTCAGTTCCTTGAACTGAGCTGCTTGACCATCATACATCGAATATATATATATATATATATATATATATATATATATATATATATATTTTTGGGGGTAAATAAATATTCGTACACATGAAAAATTGTATTTTTATAAATGTAAAAGCCTTAACTAAAACAAATTTTGACACATTTTATGTGTAAAGATACATTTTATTAAAAAATAGTAATAAACTTAATTCTTATTCTAACAGAAATTAATGCATTTTTTTTTCATTTTAACTAATGAAAAAAGTATTCATACAAAACAAAAAGAACATATTAACTTAATACTTTGTGGAATATCCTTTTTCAACAGCTACCAGTCTATTTCTGTACGTCTCAACTAATGCTTTGCACACATTGAGTGGTATTTTGTCCCATTCTTCTTGGCATATTGTCTTCAAATTCTTGATATTTGTTGGTGCTCCTTTCCCAATTTGAATTTTCAAATATCGCCATAAATTCTAATTGGGTTCAAGTCTGGGGACTGACTTGGCCATTGCAAGACATCAACATTACTTTCAGCTAACCATTTCCTTGTAGATCTGGCGGTATGCTTAGGATCATTATCCAGTTGGAAAACCCAATCAGGAGGTAGCCAAAGTCTCTCAACAGAATGTATTAAATTGTCGTGCAAGATTTTCTGGTAGCTTTTGGCATTCATCTTGCCATCTATTATTGATATTCTGCTAACACCTTTTGCAGAAAAACAGCCCCAGATCATGAGACTGCCATGACCAAACTTTACAGTTGGCAACGTGTTCTTTGGTAAGTAGGCTTCACCGTCCTTCCTCCACACATGATTTCGATAATTATGACCAAACAACTCTATTTTAGTTTCATCTGTCCATCGTACTTTTTCCCCAAAATGAATATTCTTTATCCTTATGCTCTCTAATAAATTTTAGCCTAGCATCTCTGTGTCGTTTCAAGAAGAGTTGAGTCTTCCTTGGGATGCGTGATTTCAGACTGTTTTTGTGTAGTTCATTACTTATTGTACGCTTGGTTACTTTAATCCCTAATGCACGCAGATGTTCCTGCAGCTCTTCTCGGGTAACCTGTGGATTTTGTTGGATATGGCGTCCTAATATCCTTGCTGATCTTAGAGAAATCTTCCTCGAAGCACCTGTTCGTCTTTGGTTTTTGATGCTGTTACAAGTTTTAAACCTTGCAATGAATGAAGCAATTGTAGTAAAAGGAATATTCAGGTTGTTAGAAATCATTCTGTAACTGTTCCCATCTTTCCAAAGAGACAAAATGTGTTGTGTTTGTAATGCCCCCCTCCACTCACTTTGGGGGTGTCAAGTTGACCGACCAACTCATTACAGTTTTTGGGAAATAGTCAATTCTTTACCTTTAGGCATTATTAGAACCTTCTCGTAAGACTAGAAATTGCAGAATGCTCTGATAATGGCTAATAGCGTTAACTATAATTACTGATAACATTACTGGAACATTCTAGAATATACTTTTTTCATAATTAATTGATTATTTTATTCTAATAATTGATTTGTACAAATAAATTTTCACCAGTTAGAATTAAAAAAATGCATTAATTTCTGTTAGAATAAGAATTAAGTTTATTATTATTTTTTAATAGTATGTGTCTTTATACATAAAATGTGCCAAGGTTTGTTTTATTTAAGGCTTTTACATTTATAAAAATACAATTATTCAAGTGTACGAATATTTATTTTCCCCCACTGTATGTATATATACATACATACATATTGTATTTAGGCAACAATCCCTCTTTTATGTAAGTTTTGTTAAAGACGATCAACAAGCTACTGTGATTTTTAAGTTAAATACAAAACTTAATTGCAGTACCTTGTCAGTCATCTTTAATGAAACGTGTATGCGTATGAGTGAGAGATGCAATCACAGTGCTATTACCTGCTGCTAAAGGCCAGTGCCAGCTGGTCAATGCTGTCACAAAAACTCTGGGTACTGCCAGTGATAGTCGTATCTTCATAGTTGTAATCTGAAGAGGAAGATAAAAATAAATTAGGTCCAGGTTTCACCAAACATTATTTAAAACCCTAAATTTTGTCTGTAGTCAAATAATTTTCAGAACTCTTTACACATACTAATACAAGCAATTTTTGCATATATGTAACACACACAACTCCTATTTCTCAAAAGATTGTTTTTACAAAAAAAAATAAATAAATAAATAAATAAATAATTGTAAATGTTTTCCAGATATTCAAAATTGTGTAATTAATAAATTAGAATGAATTTGTTTGAGAAAAACTGTTGAGTACTCCCAGATCCCTGTCCCACAGATGAAACATTGCTTGCCCCCTCATTACTATCACTATTTTCATGAGAAATAGTCAGAGAAACTACCTTCCTTAGTACCACCAGTTCAGAGCTTGAACCCACCATGCCTCAATTCAAAAGGTTGACATCCTCATTCCCTTCATATTCCATTGGTTAGGAAGAAGTAATTATATATAAATTAAGAAATAAACAACTTCTTCCCCAAACTGTTGCTTTGTGGAACATACTCCTGAGAGGATGCTTCTCCGATCACTATGATCTTAACAACTTCAAGTGTGGGGTCAGCTATTATCTATCCTACATATCTGCATAATATCCTTTACATCCTTTTTATGTCATTACAACAATCTCATTCAGTGAATCTCTACCTTGAATGGAACTTAGCCCTTGTGTTTGGTAAAGTATAGCACCCACCCACACTTCTCCAAATCTTCCATAACTGCCTGCCTTAATGTTGAAGGTAAAATTCAGCTGTGGAAAGCATAGAATACAGATGTATCCTTGAGTGCTAAGCCTCGCAGAGATTTCTTTGCTAGCATACAAAACATCCTGCAAAGATGCCTTTCAAAATTCAAGTAATAATTTTTAACAATCTGTTAATCACTGTAATATTCTTTTTTTCTATAGTAATGCTCAAAAAATTTTTTTCTACAAATAGTAATTGCTTCTTCTCTTTATGCCAATGATTCCAACGGTGGGGCCCGGTAATATTTTGGTGGGGCATGCATAGGACATGCACCCTTTGGCTTACTATACCAACAGAATAAGAGGGCAATTCAAGAATGAGTTATTAACAGTGAATTGTTTTCTAGTGAACTCAAATTTCATTTTGCATTATTATTTCATGGTTAAAATGATCGAAGTATATTACAGAATTAGCTTTCATTCGAATATTTTATATTTCTGCCTTTCAGTTCTCTATTATATGTTTTGAAACTATATATATATATATATATATATATATATATATATACACACGCACGTTTCATTAAATTGTCTATTTAATTTATGTAAATTCTTTTCATAAAATAAATAAAATAGACACTTGTCTATATTATTTAATGAAACATGTATAAATGAAAAAATGCTGCCTAAATAAATATATATATATATATATATATATATATATATATATATATATATATATATATATATATATATATATATATATGTCTGTCTGTCTTTTTTTATTTTTTAATTTTTTCTTTTTTCATGGAAACCATGGTCTTTGGGGGCTTGTTTATAGACCAAGTTAATTGCCTTTTAAGATTTCTTCACATGAATTACAGTAAAATTTTGAATTTGTAAGAATTAAATATTACTGGGCACCAGAATTTTAGAAATACCATAACCCAAAGTCAGTTGGGAACCACCGTTTTACAGCATTTCAGCTTACAAAAAGTTTCATAGGAATACTCTACTTTTGGAGATCAAGGGTGCAGGTGGGGGTGAGGAATCTGCTTGTCTGTGTGAAAGAGAGTGATAAGGGCAACCAAAGATGAGTCATCAGAAAATTAATTTTACAAACCATCACAAATGTAATGAGTTTAATCTTTGGTCATATATTTCTAACATTTTTGCTTAAGTTTTTGTAAACTGAACATTATAATAATGTGCACCAGAGACAGTTTTGTCCAACATCAAAAACTGCTACAAAGCCAAAATATCAGCCTGAAAACTAAAGCCATGTTCTTTAAATATCCTCATCAGATTGATACTTTCATGTGGATGCCATAACCCAAACCCATTCAGAAATATGAAAACTGTCAGTTGTATACAACCACTTTCTAAGATCAATGGTGAAAAAAAGCTTTCAGCGTGTGAAGCTTGAGGGTCTTGGCAAAGATCATCCTTCTTTGAACATTGTGGACTGGTGCTACAGATTCAAAAACAAAGAACTATACCAAATAACAAAAACCACATCATTTGAGGACTACCAACAACAGCAACAACTAAAATGGATAGCACATGTAACTAGAAGAGAAAATAATGACACAAGATGTTGAAATTCCACACTGCTTCAAATAAAAAGCTAGGAAGATCCTATCAATACTGGAAAGAGAAAATAACAGCTACTGCACTTGAAAAATCTATTTTTCTGAAAAACTGTTTTAAAAGAAAGATTTAATAAATTTCAAATAAAACCAGTAATGGCTTTTTGGTCAAAGAATGCCAAATGTTTCCTTGTAGTAGGGAAACAGGTAATATACCATTAACATTAGTAAATACCAATCTTTTTCTCTAATATAAAAATATCATAAAGGAAAGCAAGAAGAAAGGATTAATGATTAAGTGCAAAAAGATAGCAATAGTCCAAAGTGTGAGCAAAATTGTGGGGACATTAGAATAAAGTAGATACAGAAAGTTAACTATTTGGGAAGTGTAGTAACACCATGAAGTCTGATACAGAAATCTGTGCATAGAAATAGCAAAAAATGCTTTTTGGAAACTAAGCAAAGCATTAAGAAATAGGAAAATGCCCTTAAAAACAAAGAAAAGGAGTGATGGACTACCATGTAATATTTAGTCATGTATATAGCAATGAATGTAGGGCAATCTCAATCTTCTCACAGATGAAGAGATTTAAAGTGACAGAGATACTGTTCTGATGAATGCTAAAAAAAAATGTGAATTACAAGGAACTTTTAAGGAAAATTGGATTGACAGAGAAACCAAAACTAATAATCAGAAAGAGAGTTGAAATTTCTGCGACACATCAGGATAGAGAGCCTAAGGCAAGAGAAGAAGTAAGTTTGAGGAGATGGACAGCAAAACAAAGACAAAAGATAATAAAGGAGAAAGAGGTACTTAGAATAACAAAAGATAGAAAGTTGTGATTTCTGTGATTAGCCACGTCCTGAAAGGACATGGCATATAATAGAGGAATATAAAAGTAAAACGAAACATGTAAGAAAGGTTTGTCAGTAGAAATATGATTTGAATGTGAGCAGTTAACAAATCCCAAGGGAACAATGCATGTAATGTTCACAGGAAGTCAAATGTAATAAATCGCCCACTACCATATTTTTTATCATCATATAACATTTCTAATGGCTAGGTTAGTTTTTATCTGTCAGTTCCTCTGTAGAGGTATGAAACTGCTTAACATGCATGAAAGCAAAAGAAGCAAGGGGAATATATAGAATTGACAAAACTGATTCTTTCATCTCCCTGTATCTTTCCATCTCCCCACTATTATTATATTCTTCTCTTTCCACTACAAAATCTTATTTTATACATTTGGTATCCGAGGAGTTTGGATATAAGCATACCTTTAGCAGCTAAGGAGTGATTTAACAATACAGTTTCATCATTCATTCCTAACCTTATTCATTGGAAATTATATCCCTTGAAGTATGAAGTATTCTCTCCAACCAAAATATATCTTAAAACTTGAACTATTTGGTAAACTAAGGTTTATCCTGACACCACAACCATGTCCTGAAATGACATGAGCAATCATGGTTTCTCAACAATTTCAAGATGTCAAGGAAATCCAAGAGAATGCAATGAGGCAGTTGCTTGCTATCCCCACCCCCCAAAAAATCCAGGAATGCTTCCATCAATGGAAAGTGTGTGCCTTTAGAGGGGGATTACTTTGAAGGAGATTAAATGCTGAATTAATATGTGTTGTAGTTTTCTTTTTTATAGCACAAGTTCCAATACTTTTTGATCAGACCTCATTGTTTCCTCCTGCTTCTCTCACCTTTAGTATACCCTATGATTGCTAAATTCATTGGATGACATTTAAGTTAGCTCCTGCAGAGGACTCTTGATTGGGTCTTTGGCTTATTCAGGAGTTTGAGAGTCCCTAAGTCTTTGCACATTCTCAGCATTGAAAGCTCTCCTGGCTGCCATTTGATTTGGGTTCTCATTTGCATGGGACTTTCTTTTCCTCACTGCAGCCTTGACTCTTGATTGTAATCTGGTTCTCTATTGGCAGAGATTTCTTTTTGCAATGCATACTGCTGCTGTATGCGCTAGACAACAATAAACTACAGAAAGACTCAAAATTGATCATTGCATTTAAGTATTGCATTAATATTTGAGCTTACCTTTTAAAAGTTCAATGACAATTCTGCTGCTACTTAATTTAAAGACAATTTGATGTGAGTAGGTCCTTACTTTCCGTATAAACATTTTCATTTCATGGGTGACTTTCACTGGATTCCACAATTAATTTCAATTATTTCCAAATTTATTTCCAAGTTATACAAATTGTTATCATACAAAAAAATTTGTCACAAAAAAATCACGTAGAAAAAAACAAAAAATAAAAAAAAAACTGAAAACAATCACAGTACTAAAAACAAATTGAAAGTTAGAGTTGTGACCTTTAATTGAAAAAAAGGTGTGACACACTGACATTGGCATTTATTATATAGATAGGTGAGCGGGTTTATTTGCCATCCAATAAAGTACTCAATTTCTGCACCCCCAATTCTTTTATTGGCTTTATGATGTAATTTAATTTTTATCTATCACTTGGCCTTATTACATGACAAATACATGTCACTGCCAGTTTATATTATGACACTATATGTACTTTTGTTTAATATACCTTTTTGTTACAAAGAGCATGTGTTACTAACAGAGGGCAGGCTAAAAGTTAAGTTTCAATGATTGCTGCCTTAACTTAGAAGAAGAGAATACAAGGCATATATATTTAATTTCATTTTAAACTCCATTCCAAATGTATATTTTAGGGCATCCTTCCTTATAAGATATTCAATAAAATACCAAGGAGATCCTGTCTCATTGCATACAAGCCTTTAATAGCATCATGTCCTGTGTTATGTTATTGTGATTAGCAGAGATGTGCAAATGCAAATTCATCACTTTCTAAGTGCCAGAAACACATTAAAAAAAAAATAAATAAAAAAGTGTTGGGCACCAAAAACAACTCGTCACTCCTTGTAGCTTTTTTTATCATTAGACTTTCACACAGAAAAAGATAGCCAAAAAGAGGAGTTCAAGTGTGTGTGTGTGTGTGTGTGTGTGTGTATGTGGATTATTAAACATATCAACAAAGTTGGCACCATTCAGCTAATATCTCTTCAAATTCAAGTAAATATATAAATAATAAAAGTTAAAAAAGCAATGCCAGAAAAAAAAAAAAAAAAAAAAGTAAATAAAATAAAAAATAAAAGTTGTATATCTGTAGTACAACTTTGATGAGGATAACTTTCATGCTTCAAGTAAAAATAAAAAAGTACTATACTTTTTGATTTAAGACACACCCACAAATTTTTAAATAGAAAACAAACGTCACATGAGAGAGAGAGAGAGAGAAGGGGGAAAGGGAGAGAGAAGGGGAAAAGGAGAGAGAGAAGGGGAAAAGGGAGAGAGAGAAGGGGGAAAAAGGAGAGAGAGAAGGGGGAAAAGGGAGAGAGAGAAGGGGAAAAGGGAGAGAGAGAAAAGGGAGAGAGAGAGAGGAAAAGGGAGAGAGAGAGAGGAAAAAGGGAGAGAGAGAGGAAAAAGGAGAGAGAGAGAGGAAAAGGAGAGAGAGAGAGGAAAAGGGAGAGAGAGAAGGGAGAGAGAGAGAGAAGGGAAAAGGGAGAGAGAGAAGGGAAAAGGGAGAGAGAGGAGAAGGGAAAAGGGAGAGAGAGAGAGAGAGAGAGGGAAAAGGGAGAGAGAGAGAGAAGGGAAAAAGGAGAGAGAGAGAGAGGGGAAAAAGGGAGAGAGAGAGAGAAGGGAAAAAGGGAGAGAGAGAGAGAAGGGAAAAAGGGAGAGAGAGAGAGAAGGGAAAAAGGGAGAGAGAGAGAGAAGGGAAAAAGGGAGAGAGAGAGGAGGGGCAGAGAGAATATTTGTCTATTATAAAATATTGAATTAGATGCAAAGAATGTTGAACAGTAGATGGTTACAAACACCTACTTTTGATTTTGTTAATGAGAGATCCAGCTGCGGAAAATAAGTCTTCCGACTGTAATGCCAGGTATTGCTGCAACACCAGGCGTAAGGTACACAGTACTTCTCCAAGTTGTTCATGGGCAGCTACTTTAACATCGTCTCCACATACTGCAAAGGAAAAAAAAAAAAAAAAAAAAAAAAAAAACACTTTTACAATAAGACTTGACCATTTGATTCCTTAGATCAGTTTAGTATGAAAGAAAGTCAAATGAGGAGACAGTGTATCGGAAGATTGTGTTGCACTAATCTGTCAAGTGGGGAGTGTTAACCCGTCTTGAAGAATTAGCACTTAAAATAGTGTGCCTGAACACTTTCACTTGGGGAAAAAAAATTTTATACACCAGACAACTATAATAAAATTATTTATTTTGTATGTGCCATCAAATTTCAGAAAATTTCTAACTCACATGACATATTGAAGGCAAGAGGAACAGAAGAAAGCTTCAAATATACAAGGTGCCCCACAAAGAACAGGAAATTTGGTACAGTTTAGTTAATTGCTGGAATTTTTGTTACAATTATTTGAAACAAAAGCAAAAAGGTAGAAATTTAGTAACTTAGTGCGGTGTTCAAACTAAAACGTTAATTTTTTTCTCTCTTCATACCGTAAATCTAAAATTTCCTATTTTTTTGTGAGGTACTTAAAGCAAAGAAAACAGCGACAGCGACTTTCCTCATCAAAACAAGTGACAGTGTGTCATGTGTATCCTACGATGGAAAATGTGTTGAAAAAGATAATTACAAAAAAGGGGGGGGAGCATGTATTCCACATGACATGCTGAAGACGGAATATTTAAATTAAAAAACAAGTCCATCGCAGGAGTCACTATAAAAGTATTTTGATATGCAAAAATTGAACATCCACTCCCAGCTGCTGACAAATGGAAAAAATGCTCGGCTGATAAAAGCAGCTGGTGTTCTTGAATAGAGGAGAAATCGGGTATTTTGGCTACTGCGTTTGTTGGAGAGTGAGTTATTATTCTGACTGGTTGCATGCATTGTGATTTGTGAGATAGTACCTGCGAATCGAGTTCTCACCATTTCTTTTTGCCTTTGATGTTTGAGTCTGAACTTAGTGATTTATTCTGTGCTGTGGAAATAATCTGTGACAAATATTTCCTTTGCAATCCCAGATCGCTTACAGTACTCTGTACTACCTAACAATCTGTGTAAATAGTTTGCAGAACAGGGATTAGGAGAGATAGCAAAAAGACAACATTTACTAAGAGACACAAAGGACAGGAAATTGTGGAGATCAATGACCACCCACATCCTGGAGGCACATAGAACCTTGGTTTTAACTACTGGTATAAAAAAATGTTTTAAATGCATTGAGATGGTGCTGTCTCAGAAAATCCAAGGTGCCAAAACCCACCCTGGCAACTGCTGGCACAATGCATATTTCAGGAAGATAATGCGAAACATCTCTTCGAGATCTTGGCAGATAATTTCGAGTGAATGTCTAAATTTAAGGATGTATGATTATTTTCATTTAGTTCTTCAAGGTATTTTCCTTTCTTAAATAAGCTAGTAATTTTGGGATCATGGAGGGAGATGTTAATTAAAGAACAAGTGCACTAACCACTTTGGTCACAGAGGAAATAGAGTTATATAAGTAAATATTTATCCATACATCCTCACACAATTTAAAAACTAACATGTGAACAGTAAAAATGTCTTTGAACAGATTGAAATACAAGTTGAAGATATAGATTAAATTTGTCAAAATAATTGATTAAGGGACAAGTGGGAAACATTTTATAAATTTAACTTGTTCCACTATTTATTTACATACATCAGAATTTTTTTTTTTTTTTTAAGTAGAATAATGCAGAGTTGTTTTGATTTTTAAATTCTAGCTTTTGTTTTTACTGAGTGTGTAAATGTCACATGTTCATGCATTAGTATGTATGTATCAATTTTGTTTAGTGCTGTGACATGTTTATCAAATAGCATCCGTGTGTGTGGTTAATTATTGAATTTGAGACTATTCCACTTCCAAAAATAATTTATGATGAAGTAAATAAATAACAGAACATGTTAAATTTATAAAAAAAAAAAATTTCTACTTGTCCCTTATTTAAATCAGATTGAAATATATAAGAGTGTAAGAAAATATGAAAATGATATACTACAGCTATTTAAGTTATATTGAAAGTCTTGGGAAATATATGAAAAGGCAGAACATTTAATAATTATTCTTTTTTTTTTTCACATATATTTGTCAATTCAAGTATTAATCAGGTGAGTTGAGATGAATAGTGATTGATATATATATTTGTGGCCATGTATCAAAATTAAAGCTAAGTAAAGCACTATTATTATCAGTTGAAGTAGTGATTACAAATGATACACTTCAAAAAGAAGAGAAATTCGGACCATTCTCACATCCTTAATTCTTCTTTTATATGCTGTGTCCATTCAGGACATTGGTAATCATGGCTCTCCACAATTTCTTGTCCTTTGTAGCTCTTAATGAATTTTGCCTTTTTCTTATCTCTCCTAAATCTTGTTCAGCCAGCCATTTACTAAAGCCCATTAGGTAGATTGTTTTCCTTTGTCCCTCTCACCTTCAATCTGTCCTGTGAGTATCAAATTTTCCAAAACCTCTTTCCTCATTATGTGCAAAAGAAATTTCATCTGTTTCTTTCTGCTGTTAAGCATAAGTGTTCTTTTTGCTTCCATTTTCAGTAAAACTTTGTCAAGAAAAACTAAGATGGTTAGTACACAAAGAAATGAAAAATAAACAAAACATCAGGTGCTTTGGAAAAATTTCAAACTTTTTGGGGGGTTTGGGGAGTGTAAACAATAAAAAAATCAAAAAAAAATCATTACTTATGCTTTATCTTCCCTTAAAGATTCACAAAGGATTTTGTATTTACTTTTTTTTGATGGAACATTTAAAAAATTGTTCTTGTCTATATATCTCTCTATTCACTCTGTTTTTATATAAACAATATTAAAAAAAATTCTGATACTGATATTTATTTAGATAAGAATTAAAAAAAAAAAAAAAAAAAAACAGCCACTAGTAAATAAATAATAAATAAAAATGTTATGTCCCGACAATCCTCATTGAAACTGTTATATTCCATGCTAAGGGAATAAGTAAGTAAAACCAGGTGGATACTAGAAGAAAGGTTTATTGTACACAAGTACAATATGAAATACGGTACAGTTATACACACAGGTAAATTTAGTAGTGTGCCACTGATTGGAAGGTCGAGTGTGCTTGCATCTTCACTCTCCTCCTCTACCTCATCTCCTGTCTCTCGTAGACAGTTGACTTTATAGGTACTTACTACCTATAGTGTAATCATTCATGGGGGTGCCGGGTTATTCCATTACATAAAAAAAAATGTTAATAGGTAAAACATTTCACACATTGTTTGAAGTGATATTTGCCATATTTTTTTTAATGACAATATTTCAACACACGTTCTTCAGAATTGCTTTAAAAATATTAAAAAATACTTTACAGAACTGATGTAATAAACAAGTGAGTAAAGCTGGAAAGTTAACAGAAATATTGTGGAAAAAACAACAACAAATGATGATGATAATACAGTGTCAACATGAGAATGACTTAGAAAGATTGTTAACAGTAGCAGTAATCATTTATTAACCATTTATTTAAATAGTTCATTACCTGTGTTATAAATATTAAAGTTTCTTTTTTATTTTAAATATAAATCCAATGAATTTCCAGAAATACCATGCATTTATCTGTGAACTAAAAATAAGATCAAAACAAATAACTGCAAATTATCCCAAATAACTCATGGCATAATTTGGTAGATTTAAAACAAAAATAAAATTTCCTATCAAATCATCAGAGGAGTCAACAATTCATTCCTCATGACACAGGGAAACTTCTGGGGACTAAAGAGTACAGACATTGTGTGCTTGTTCATTTTAATCTCTAAATAGTAAATGATTCTTTGCAAAAACAACAATTGTTGATGTACAAAATTTTGCAAACTTTTAAAATGGCTGTGTCCAAGCTTATATAAGACTAACATTGTTTATGAATTTATTTGTCCAATCGGAGACTGTAAACAAAAAAATTTAACTTATTTAAGTTACACAACAACCATTCTTTCCCGAAGACTTACATGTCATGTATTAGAACAAAGTTTTATCAAACAACACATTAATAAGTACCATAACATTAAACAGTTCCTTATAAACACCAAAATAATACTTAGAACCAATAGAAAAAGTAGAAAATCTAAAAATTATTGAATCCATCTACAGACAAACCCCAGCATGCATTAACAAAAAGTTAGTTTCCAATCTAGCATATTCCATTGCATAAAGAAAATTAAATAAATAAAAACCACAAAGTTATACATTTAGTGTTGTGACACTTGATGGATGGGACTTCTTGCATTTGTTCTATTAAGTTTAAATAGAACATTACACTAAATGTATTACTTATGACCATCATTGTTTTTCAAATAATACACTATTTATACACCCCTGAAGACAGCTCATAAGAGTTGAAAGCTTGGACAGCCATTAAAAAGTTTGGCAAATTTTGTACATCAACAACTGCTGCTTTTACAAAGGATTATTTGCACTTTGGAGAGGGAGACAGACAAACTCAATAGACACAAAATATTATATATAAACTCTTTAATAAGAAATGTTTGAAGGAACAATTGCTGCCTAATTACACAAAATAGATATACATACATATATATATATATATATATCAATAAAAATGAACATTGAAGTCAACACTCAGAGATGACAGACTGTTTCATGCTAGACAAAATCATCAGGCGGCCTGACAATTGCATCTAGCATGAAACAGTCCGTTGCCTCTGAGTGTTGACTTCAGTGCTCACTTTTATATTTACAAATGCTCTATCACTGATATTGAGCACTTTATCTCATAAATATAGCATACCTTAAAACTATATTTCTTGAGTTTTGGCCAATAAGTTCACAGAGGCAAAGGGCAAGAAAAAGGCCTTTTGTTTTCTAGGAAAATTTTCCCTTCATACGAGTTTCTTTCATACTAAATAATCTTGGATTATACCATTTTGATTTTCAATTCCAAAGAAGGGCTCAGGATATGATTGATGGATTTATTTTCTATG